TCGGTTGAGCTTTGTTTATATTCCATCCCCAGTGTTTGCCCATCGCCTGGTCTGTAATAAATGCTCACTGATTACTTGTGGAGAAGATAAGTGAGTTAACTCTATGATAATTCTGTCTTTTTGTTTTAGGATTAGGAATACCAGGCTTGATGTAAGTTTTTCCAGCTCAGTGTTGATACCTCCCCCTTCCTTCTGCCAGTCCAGCCCCTTTATTAGTCCTCTTCTGCCGCCTCCCTTTCTGATGCCGAGTCTGCACCGTGAGAGTAGCAATGGACTTGAGCAGTTCGGAGTCTGGGGAGGTCCGAGCTCTGCTCTGAAGCTGGCTGTGAAATCCTAAACTAGCCCGGCCAGTGTGCTCAGTGGTTGAGCATTGACCTTTACAAGCCAAGAAGTCACAGATTCCTGGTCAGGGCACATTCCCAGGATTCGGGCTCACTCCCCAGTAGAAGGCGTGCAAGAGGCAGTTGATCAGTGATTTTCTCTTATCGTTGATGTTTCTGTTTCTCTCTCTGTCCCTTCGTCTCTGAAATCAATTTTTTAAAAAAAGATAATTTAAGAATAAAAAGAAACCCTAAACTGGACTGAAGAATATCTGACCACCAGCCGGCTGGAAGGGGCTGTGTGTGAGGATGTGTTTGAGTGCGTGTGCCTATGGGGGGGTGGGGGGGTCAATGTTCCAGTACCTGCTCTGGGCAGGGCCTGACTGGCTGGCTGCAGGTGCTGGGGACAGACAGACACCTGGTAAATCAGACATGAGTGCAGGGCGGGCATGTCCTCATTGGCTGGGGCGGGCGGGTAATGGAAGACTGCCTTCAGATTCTGAAGTCTGAGTGGGACTTACTGGGAGGAGACAGGGGGGAGATGTTCCAGGGAGCGGCTTCGGGGGGGGGGGGGGGCAGCTAGCACCCTACGGGAGGAGAGGCCAAAGTGGCCGCAGGAAGTCCCCCAGGGCCTGGGCTGCAGGAGGATGGGGATGGGTTATAAGTAGGTGCTCTGATCGTGAAGTGAGGTGTTCTGAGGACTTCCTTGGGCAGCCCCGGGTGTGAGCACAGGTTTGGAAGGCATTGTTTACCAATCTCCCTCTCCAGCCGCTCCTACTCGGGAGGCTCCGATGACATCACCCAACAGAAAAAACGTGCAGTCTGTGTCCTCCTTTCCCTGGGGGCGGGGCTGCCCTCTGAGCCCAGCTTTCTCTCCTGAGGCTCCCAAGGCTGAGGAGCTGGACGTGGCACACCCAGTGGAGCTGCCTGAGGCCGGCTGCTTTGTCTGAGTTGGACCCTGGACCTCTGAGTGTGCTCTGTGCGGCAGGTTCCGGGAAGGACTGGTGAATCATGGGAGCAAATAACCCTCTGTCCCTCTGCTGGGCCTGCCCTGCGCCCATCCTGAGCCCGTCCTCGCAGCTCGCAGCCTGGCCCGCTTCCTGGGGCGTGTCATCCCCGCCCCGTCCTCCGCCTCAGCCTCAGTGGCCGCTGGACTTCATGTTCTCTGCAGGGCGCCACGTCCAGGTCCTGTCCTGAGCATGAGGCCCCTGCTGGGGATATTGTTCTTACAAGTCTCAGACACGATTGGTTGAGAACCAAAGTCTAGCAGGTTCGAATCCCCGCTCTCCAGGGCCGGCCGGCCTGTTGTGCAGCCTCGCACCTGTGGGCTCAGGCTCAGGAGCCTGGGGAGGCTGGCTGTGGACAGATGAGGGGTCTGCCTCCGAGTGCTCTCACTCCTTGTCCTCTTGGCTGCTTAGGGGGCTGTGGGCTTTGTTTGGTTTTCCTGGTGTCTGAGTTGGACTTGAACTACAGCTGAGGCTGTTCACCTGGGCTTCCTCCAGCAGCCGCGAGGTGAGTGCTTTGTTCTCACCTTCCTCGTGCCCTGGGGAGGCCTCGGCCCCGGGCGTCTGAGGGCACGGCTGGTGGCCAGGTCTGTCCAGTCCCGGCCCCTCCTTCCCCGCTGGCGCAGACACGGGTTGGGATGGGTCTCCAGACGGAGCTCAGACTTTGACCAGCGGCAGAGTCTCCTGCGGGCCCGGAGGTGGATCCATCCAGTCCCCGCGTACAAGTCAGGACAGGTGTGTGTGCGTTTCGAAACCCTGCCTTGGGCAAGAGGAAGAGGGAACAGTGGCTCCTTGTTGCCCTTGACGGTACCCCTCACTGCCCCCTCCTGCCCGCGTGAGGGCGCAGACTCGCCCGGCGGCAGCCTTTGTCAGACCGGTTTCGTGAACTCCGACAGTTGAAGAGCGTGAACTTTTGTCTGTCGTTTAAACACTGTCGCATGTTTGTCCTGACACCAGCTGGCTGCCCAGATCGCTGTCGTGGGCGCTTGGTCCTTCCCTTACTGAATTCCTGGTACGTGACTGGCCGTGCCTGGGAGGAGGCTGTCTCCTGTCTTCATCCTGCGTGTGGCCACCCTCACGCACCCCAGTCCTGTCCTCCCCGGAGGCTGAAGCTGACCTCAGAGGCCGGTGATGCGTAGATGGTTCTGGAGCGCATAGCTTGGGTGTCTGACACCTGTCCTCACCGCTCTCTCCAGACACTCTGGCTCCTTCCTCGTCGCTCGAAGGCCTGGACCTGCTGGGTGCAGAGCGCATGCCGATGGCTGCAGGGCAGGCTGTGGGGCGGGCTGTGGGGCACACTCAGGCCCTTCCTTCTCGGGCGCAGGCCGGATGGGGTAAGCAGCATTAGGGTCCAGAGAATCGGGTTGCTGGTGTCCTGGTTCGGGGACACGCTGGTACGGTGACACGTGCCGGGAAGAATTACCTTCTGAAACGGGACAAGGTGTGGCCTCCGGGGCGCAGGTTCCCTCCACCGCCTTCCTAGGCCTTAGAAGTCCCACCGGCCTAGGACACAAACGGGGAATCCGCACAGCTCAGTTCGTGCGGAATTGTGGCTTCTCACCTGTGGAGGCTCAGTTACACGTTTGGCCAACGCGTTCTCGTAAGGAGGACGATCTTCTCGCACTTGGCATTGGTCCACGCCCGCTGGTCGGCCCTTTGCTTGGAGTGACCGTGGAGCTGGACTCCTGCGGAGAAGTCGGTGGGACTTGTTCCTGGGACATGGGGTTGTGAGTAGGAGTCTAGGGGGCTCAGGGCACACGCGTTGTGTGTGTGTGTGTGTGTGTGTGTGTGTGTGTGTGTGTTTGCGCACACGTCTTTGCACATGAACATTTTGTGAGGGTAAAACAAAGACTAGACTAGTTGGCAGATTGAAACCAGCTGTTTTTATTTTGTGGGAGCGGAGTGATTAGTTTGGAGGGAAGGGGAGCCAAACCACAAACAGAAAGACGAAGCCGCCTTAGCTAAGCCAGGCCCGGACCTTGTGAAATGCCGGGATTCCCGGCCTCCCGCCTCCCGCCTCCCATGCTCTGATCGCAAACCCGCAGAAGCCTCGGGCGGTGCAGGGCCTCCCCCTGCCCGGGGCCTCCAGGGTAGACCTTTGAAGAGCACTTGTTGGGGACCGGCCTCCTGTGCCTCTGCAGTAGGCACCTAGGACTCCCACAATTCCTCACCACAGCTGGCCGCCCCCTGGCTCTGCAGTGGGGCTTTGGGAATGGCAGCGGTCAGTACTCCTGTGACCGGCCGTGGCCCAGGGAAGAGGTGGCTGTGCCCAGCTGATGTTTTCCACAATGAGCCCCCCCAGAAGGCTGCCCCCCGTTAGTTACTGTCACATTCTCAGCATTTGTTGCCCCGGAGCCCTCCACAAAGGGGCTGTTGTGGGGCCCTGCAGGCTGGCACTGCCTGCGGAGCAGTTGATGGATGACCAGCCTGGTTTGGCATGGCAGGCCGGCTTCCTCTTTGCCCCCTGGTTGGCGGGGTGAGAGGCGGAGAAGCAGGTTGCTAAGCAGCCTGGCCGGACACGGTGCCGGTCCGGTGGCAGCCGCAGTGTTCAGGAGAGTGGGCGGGTTTGGGGGGATTTTTGGGGGAAGGGGCTGGGGTCTACTCTGGCCTCGGGTGGGACCAGGCGTGGGAGGGAGGCGGCCTTCCCGCACCCCACTTTCTGGCCCGGTGTCGGTGTGAGGTCTCGTGAGCGGCGTGCAGAGCTCTGCTGCAGCTTCCACGTGCGGCTGGGCCCGGAGCCCTTACCGCTTCTCCCCTCCCTCACCGCTTCTCCCCTCCCTCACCGACCAGAGCGGAAGGATGGGGTCCAGCACTTCCGGCAGCCCGGCTTCTGCCCCTGTGGCGTGTGGTGGCACTGAGGCCCCGGTCTGACTGTGTCAGGGGGCTGAGTTTCCCCAGAAATGGAGGCGGGTCCTGCCGGGTACATGTGGGACAGCGCAGCCAGGGCTTGTGACAGGCTGGCCCCTGCGCCCGGTAGACCGGGGAGGGAAGCCGTGGCCCAGCGGGAAGGCATGGCCAGGCTAGCAGACCTGCTCAGACCTCTGCTCTTAGGGTCTGCGCACGCCCACAGCCAAGGGCCGTGAAATGGGTGTCGGGCAGCAGTTTGCATGAAGGTCAGAGAGCTTTTCTTCGCGGGAATAAAGGCCGGCGGGGAAGAGCTGGGGGAGCGCTCTGTGGTTGTCACTGAGGCCGTCCGCGCCCACTCCGGGTTCCAGGGGCTGCCCGCTGTGACGAATCTCCCCTTAAACTAAAAGTTAGAAAAATCTCTTCGGAGTAGTTAGTCTTCTGAGTTCAGTGTTGGTATTTCATGTTATAAGTAGCCCCCCGCTTGCTTCCTCAGTGGCAGGTCGGGGCGGCGGTGTTCGGGTGACTGGCCAGGGGCGGCATCGGGAGGGTCCCGGTGTGCGGGGGACACTGGCTGGCATTGGTCCTCCATCGTGGCGGTATCGGTGCCTGCTGGAGGCCGGGAGGAGGGGCAGAAGCAGGCGACGGGAGCATCCCAGCTGCTCTGATGAAGGAAGAAGGGGGTCAGGGATCCCCAAAGCCCCTCCCCCCAGCATCGCTCACTCTTAGGATGCCTTTGCCGTTTTTCCTTCCTCTATATCCTGAGTGGTGTCTGCGTAAAGCAGCGTGGGGCAGGAGCCAGGCTCACTCCTGTGTCTGTTTGTCTTTGCAGGATGACCCGGAAGTAGAAAAGCGGGACCCGCAGGAATTAGTTGGTAAGTTCCCAGGCAGCTCAGGGCATGTTTCTGAACCTTGCCAGGGCCTGCGGGCACGGCCCCTCTGCTGTGATCCTGGTCTCTCCTCCTCTCTCTCGGGGCCTTTGGCATTTCCTACATGTCCGGGTGAGACACCCAGAACAATTCTTCTTTGGAAATCATAGTCACGTGTGTTTCACTGGCTCTGGTCAGTTGCCAGTGCTGATGGGGGGGACGCAGGGCCCCATTCAGCCTGGAGCTCGTTCCCCTGTTGCCCTGGGCCCGTCCTCTGTCCCTGTACCCCCTTCTCGCCCTCTGCTGGCACATTCATGAGTTCAGGGAGCAGACACCGGCCTCTGCTGGCATTTGGCTCTGTCCCCGGGGGAGAGCACGCCCCCCAGGCCTGGAGTCCGGGAGCCTTTGTGACGGGAGGGCAGGGCGTTCCATTTCTGGGAAATGGCATTGCGGTCTGTTAAACTCCAGCCCCCTAATCCTTTTGCAAACCCCTCAGCTCCTTCGGCATGGCCTGGACTGCGTACCTGCTCTCCCACAGCCCGGCCAGCCTCGCCGGGGGCTGGACGCTCCTCCCCGTGGCGGCCCCTCTCTGCCTGCTGACCCTCCACACAGCTGGACACACAGCTTCCGGCCACCCTCCGCCTGTCCTTCCCCCGACAGGGCCCTTCACCGGGGCGGGAGGTGAGGACCCATTATGGTTTTCTCCTGGCAGAACTGAACGTCATCCCTGTTTGCCTTCTGAGGAAGGATTGGGTAGGAACGTGGCCACTCTGAGTGGCCCTTAATTCCCTAGTTCTCTGATGGAGTGTGAGTCCTTCAAGTCCTGTGACAATCACACCTTCCTAAGGCCTTAGGGTTTGCTCTTGAGAAAATGGCGTGGTAGGGGCACTAGCTGGCTTTGTGGCAGAGGAAAAACAGCCCCTGCCAGGATGCCCGTGGCCTCCCCGAGTGGCTGGCCCCTGGTGAGGACAGACTGGAGCCCTCCTGCGCCCCATTGTCTTTGCTTGTTACCAAGAAACGAGGTGGGTGGGCGGTGGGGTCAGAGAGCAGCCCAGCCAGGAGCCCGAGGCCACATTTCCTCCAGTGGAATGTGTGTGGGCGTCAGCCGTGTCCACACCAACTTCCACTTCTCTCTCCTCGCCACTTTGAGAAAATAGCTGGACCGAGATGTGACTTACCCAGAGGAAAAGTCACCGGGTTAAGGTGCCATCTGGTACATTTCAAATGGTGCTACCCACAGACATGGTACAGAGCCCTCTGGATCCAGAATGTCCCTTGACAGAGGCCTTTCTTCACGGCGGCTTTCCTCTTTGGGAAGGTCACATGGTCAGGTTTCTCAGCCTCGCACTGTCCAGGGTTGGGGGCTGGATGCATCGGGCCGTGTGTGAGCATCACTGGTCTCTGGACTAGATTCCATTGTACTGGCCCTCCGGCCCCCATGTGACAGTCAGAAATGTTTCCAGGCGGTGCCAGGCGTTCCCTTCAGGGAACGTTTGTTCTCATCGTTTTGTTGTCTGCACCAAAACGTTCTGTGATCTGCTGTGATCCGTTCACCTGCGGGGTGATCATTGTTTGATCACCGTTACCCTGTCGCACTGAGGAGACACAGCTGGACACAGTGCCTGTAACCGCTCCTTTTGTCCATCCTCTGGATGGGGGGCTTGGGTGCTTCCCTAGTGAGAAAGCATTTCTCACCGTTACCCTGTCGCACTGAGGAGACACAGCTGGACACAGTGCCTGTAACCGCTCCTTTTGTCCATCCTCTGGATGGGGGGCTTGGGTGCTTCCCTAGTGAGAAAGCATTTCATCTGTGTGGACAGCCCGGGTGTAACGGAGCAAGTGACAGCAAAGAGCTGACCTATCTCTCCAGCTGCTTGAGCATACTCTCCGTCCCCTCCAGGTGCCACCGATGCCCATGGGCGTGCCTGGCCCCATGGCACCCGGGTGGTGTTCTTCATGTCACTTGAGCTAGTGCCTCCTGCCCACAGCCCCACAGTCCTTGCCAGGCATCCTTCCCTTCCTTGGTACTAAGCCAGCTGATTGGCTGCCCCTGCTAGATGGGCACCTGCCAGCTATGGGTGCCATCGCTGTTTCATGACTTGGGTGTGCACGTGGGTAAGTCACAAGCTTCTCAGATCCCGAGTGTGGCCGCCTGTCAGACCTAGGAGGAGCCAGACACGGCTGCCTCCCCCCCATGCTGGGCACGTTTCTCAGTGTGTCTCCTGGGGAAATGGAGGCTCCGGCCACGCAGAGAGGCACATAGGCGGGTCTGGTGTCTTCTTTGGAGTCGCCCTGGGACTTAGGAATAAATCGCTGAAAGGTTGCTCCTGAAATCGAAGGGATAACCTTTACCTCGTTCCCTGAACGTGTGGCTTCATTTGCCAGCTGCCTCCTAGGAATTCTCTTGTTCTCACCCAGCGTCTCCGAGGGGCTCTCCCTGCCCCTGCCACGCTGTGCGCCATTTGAGCCTGAGTGTGGTTGGGTTGCTATGGCAACTCTGCCACGCCCTGTTTTTCCTGAAGGCTTTCCTGGAAAATGCCAAAGGGCATTCTTTGTCTGTCACGTGCACATGGGCGCTCTCCGCCAGGAAGAGTTTGCCCCTCCCTGCCGTGCGCCCGCAGCCTGCCCAGGCCCTGCTCGCACTTGTTGCTGATGCTCAGGAAATCGGAGGCCCAGCTCACCCAGCCATTCCCTCCGGCTCCACTCTGCAGCCCGCTTGGATCTGGGCCTTCGAACTCCCGTTTCTCCAGGGCTGGGAGGAAGGGGGAAGTCAGGATGAGTTTGAACAGCAGCCAGTCTGGGTGTCACCCTGGAGGCAGGAGGCAGGGAGGTGCTGGGCAGAGGAGCGTGGGGTTCCCTGATGGAAACGGCTCCGAGGCTGCACTGCCGTCGGGTCCACAGCAGCACGTCACCCAGGCGCGTCCTCTTGTCCTCGCCCGCGTGGCAGCCCTAGTGCTTGGTTCCTGGGCGGTGGGCACCTGGGGCGGCCCACTGACACGCGGAGAGGGGACACCCCGCCGTGGCTGAGCCCAGTCTTGGTGCTGGCAGTGTGTGCGGGCGTGTTCTGCCACCCCTGAAACTGGTTAAGCCAACAAGCCATACCCTCAACTTATCAGCACCGAGTTCTTCACAGTAACAACAGAAATCAAAGCACCCTGTCTGCTAAGACACATCTCACCCGGCCCTGGAGAAGGGGCGGCTGTGCCAGCCCCCCAGGCAGAGCGCAGCCACTGGGCGGCCCGGCACACAGAGGGTGCCCAGTGGGTGTTGCTGGTACTTTTTGTTCATTCTTTCTCTTCATCCTGCCCCACCCCGCTCCGCCTGCTGTTTTGCTCATTGTATGGGCCTTTTCATGAGCGAGTGTTTTAAAGAGCACACACAGACCTCCAACAAGCAGGGCATTGTCTGGGCGATCCAGAGCGGGACTGGGGCCTGCGGAGAGGAGTGGGACTTGGTGGGCAGTGGCAGGTCTCCCAGGGAATGGTCCCTCCGGAGTTGTGGTTCTCCACTTCAGAATCAGGCCTTTTGTTCCCAAGAATGAGGTGGACCAAAGAGGGCCGATTGGTCCATGTGTTTATTTTTTAAAGACCCCAAGCTAATTTCTGACGTAATTTTTTTAATGCCTTTTATGCACAAAGGAGCTTTGAGTGCTTAGAGTCCCCAATCCAGGGAGCCTCGTGCCCTCTTTATCCTTTTTTTTTTTTTTTTTTTTTTTTTTAATGGTATATGATGTTTTTATTTTATTTTTTTAATATATTTTATTGATTTTTAACAGAGAGGAAGGGAGAGAGATAGAGAGCTAGAAACATCCATGAGAGAGAATCATTGATCAGCTGCCTCCTGCACACCCCCCACTGGGGATGTGCCTGCAACCAATGTATATGCCCTTGACTGGAATCGAACCTGGGACCTTTCAGTCCGCAGACCGACGCTCTACCACTGAGCCAAACCGGCTTCGGCTCCTCTTTATCCTTTATCTTAGGGTGAGAAGGGTGGCAGTAAGCAGCTCTGCATTTCCGGAACCCGGGAGGCTGCTTTAAGGACGCAGCGGTGGAGAGGGGGAGTGAGCGGGAGCCCGTGTGCACGTCCCTCCCCGGCCCCGGCCCAGCGGCTTCTCACTGGTAGCTTGGCGCTGGCAGGGCAGAGTTTACACCTCGGGCACTGGCAGGTCCTGCAGATAGTGGTTGTCCCCACTTCCCGTTTGCCAGCACCCCCGGGCACACTCTTTCCTTGAAAGTCACCGCTGTGACATGTTGGCATGCATCCTTTACCCTTACACCCTCCGCCTGCACTTCCTCCAAGTGGGCACGTGCTGCTCCTTCTGGTCACATGATCTCAACTCAGGTGACCCCGCCCTCTGAGAGGCTACTCTGAACACTTCATAGCATTCATCCCTCCCTGAAAACATTGTACGTGCTTTTCCCCCTTGGCCTTGTGTAACCCCTATCCTGCCCCCACCTCCCTACAGAATTTTCCTCTGTTCTCTCAACAAACAGCCTCCTTTTCTGAAAGAGTCCGGAACATGTCACCTGATGAGATCAAGATCCCACCGGAGCCCCCGGGCAGATGCTCCAACCACCTGCAGGTAGGCACCGCGCTGCTGCTGTGTCGGGCAGGCGTCTGGCTCGGTCTGGCTTTTACAGCTTCTGTAAGAGAAATGCCCGGGGGGAGGGAGTCGAGGTCCTGTTACCTCCCTCACCCGCTCTCAGGAGTTGCTGTGAACCTGCCACCCTCCGCCACCTCACCTGGTGCTGCTGTGTACCCATGCCACCCTCCGCCACCTCACCTGGTGCCGCTGTGTACCCATGCCACCCTCCGCCACCTCACCTGGTGCTGCTGTGTACTAACTGCCGTCCTCTGCCACCTCACCTGGCGCTGCGCTGGCTGGAGCACCCTGGCTTGCCCTCCGTGAGGTCCTGTGCTAGACAGAGAGGATGACATACCTTTTCTGTGCAACCCGCTGAGCCAATGAGAACATTTCAGAAGGAACTTCGTTAAAAAGCCAAGGGACCCTCAGAATGTAATGTTATAGAAATGTAAAACAAGCCTTTTTATGCATAAAATCCCCATGCTCGTAGCCCAGCCATGCCCGCTCACCAGCCTCTGGCCGTACAGTCTCATGGGCCTGAGCGAGGCTCTGACCGAGGACGTGGAGCAGAGAGAGCAGCGCCTCAGGGACAGCTGGGCTTCGGCTTTTTCGCCTCTGAGGCGGTTCAGTACCTCTTCAGGTCCCCGGCGAGTGGGACCCGTGACAACAACAGGCAAACACCCGCTGCCGCTGCCCGCGGCGGCCACGGGGCTACCTGCTCTGCCTTCGACCAGCAGCCTCCTGGCGCCTCGTGCTGCTCCGCAGCCCGGGCGCCGCCCTTGCGGCTGGATGACTCACGCCGGGCTGCGGAATGCAGCGGGCTGGGGCTTCGCAGCGAAGGTGCTCTTCCTTTTCCGGAAGTCTCCTCCCTCTGCTGAGTCGTCAACCCCCTGCCCGCCACCCCCATGCCTAGTGTAACCTCCACACCAGCCAACAAGTCACAGCCTGTCAGGACAGTCTAGCCACCTGCCAGGCACAGCCAGCTGCTCAGCCTTAAGTCAGGATGTTTCTCCTGGATCCTCCTCAGGGTAGAGAGCGTGACTCAGCACACCTTCCCGGTCACCTGAGACGGGGGAATCGTCTCCTGGCCCAGGAGACCCCGAAAAGTCCTGTAAGATGGGGCTGCCCCACAGACCGGCCTTCTGCGGGCCTCCCTGCCTCCCCTGCCATAGACTCAGGTCTGTCCCTCTCAGCTCCTCTCTCACTCGGTGCTTCGGCTGGCCCCGGCAGAAAGGTGGGCCTCCTCGGTCACCTCTCCCCACATCCCCAGGGACATCCACTGGACTTCTCACCCGCCGCCTCCCCTCACAAGTGAGAGCTGCACTGCACCCCTGCCGGTGCCCCTCGGTGAGGGGCGGGCCCAGCCACCCGGGAGCCTCCCACAGAGAGATTCTGGAAGTGTGTGAGGCCAGATCCTGCCCTCCGAAAGGACAGCCGCTGGCCTCCCGCCGCGGACTCGCCCCCGTGTTAGCATGTAGAGCAGCCTCCAGCCCCTGCCCGTCACCCTCGTGCCTGACACTCCTCTCTGGCTGGTTCAGGAGCTGCCGGACCAGGTCCTCTCCGTGGCTTCTCGGCCTTGGCCTTTTCACTGCTCCCTCTACAGCTCTCCAGAGGGATCAGGAGAAGGCACGGCCTCCTGTGTCTGTGTGTCCACATCGCCCACGTGACCACAGACTGGCACAGGGCACGGTGGGGTCATAGGGCCCTATTTCTCTTCCGTAGGACAAGATCCAGAAGCTGTATGAGCGGAAGGTGAAGGAGGGGATGGATATGAACTACATGATCCAAAGGAAGAAAGAGTTCCGGAACCCCAGGTGCGTTTCCCATGAGCCTGCGAGGTTGGTGGAGTCCATGATGTTGGACCAGAGGTGCCCCATGGATGTGGCAAGGAGAGACCCAGCTAGGATCCCACCTGAGCCCAAAGGACCATCAGCCAGTCTGCTGTCCCAGCGGGACATTTACCACTTCCGGTCCAGGCTGAACATAAACCGGCGTGTGGAGGGGGAGCCGAGAGGCCAGGCCTAGAACGGGGCCGGCTCGGTTCTCATCCCCGCTCTGCTTCTGAAGCACGTGACCTCACAAGGCCTCGGCTTCCTCGACCAGGAGTGAGGGGTTGGACTAGACCAGTGGTCGGCAAACTGCTGCTCGCGAGCCACATGCGGCTCTTTGGCCCCTGGAGTGTGGCTCTTCCACAAAATACCATGTGCAGTGCGCATGTACAGTGCGATTGAAACTTCATGGCCCATGCGCAGAAGCCGGTTTTCGGCTCTCCAAAGAAATTTCAGTCGTTGTACTGTTGATATTTGGCTCCGTTGACTAATGAGTTTGCCGACCACTGGCCTAGACCATTGTGGGTTCTTCTGTCACCTCTAAGGAGTCCCTGGTTCCTTATGTAGGCGAAGGCTTTAGGACAGAGCTGTCTGGCCTTACACCGCCCGGTGCCTGAGCGAGCGGCACACTGGGAAAGTGGTGTGGCGGCAGCAGGGACCTGCCCAGGCCTTTGTGTGGGCCTGAGTGTAGTGGCCCCGATCCGGCCACAGCTGGAGGACGGATGTCCGGCTCAGACCTTAAAAAACGCAGCTGCTCAGCCCGGCCCCTGGCGAGCCGTGCATCCCGAGAGAGTGGCGGCAGAAACGACTGGTCGTGTCAGGCCGCGCACATTTCCCGCCCGCCGGGAAGCTTGAGAACAATCCCGCTGGGTTTTGAGAGTTTGTCTGAGCCCAGGAGCTGGGTGGTGGTGACCTCTTACACTGGCGCCCCGCAGGGCCACGGGCCTGCTCAGGGCTTCTCTTTTCTTCCAGCATCTACGAGAAGCTGATCCAGTTCTGTGCCATCGATGAGCTTGGCACCAACTACCCGAAGGTACGTCCGGCGCACAGAGGTGAGCTGCGGGGAGAGAAGGCCCTTATGACCAGCGTTATCTTCCTTTTTCAGGACATGTTTGACCCCCATGGCTGGTCTGAGGACTCCTATTACGAGGCATTAAGTAAGTAGTCATCTGTCTGTCTGTCCACCTGCACGCCCATCTGTCCCTCCATCTGTTCGTCTGTCCGTGCAGTCATTCAGTCACCAGGCAACATGCGTTTCAAGGCCGCCTCTGTTATCCCTGTCCACGGAGCTGGTGAAAGCCCTGAACCAGACAGGCCCGTCCCTGGCCTCGGAGGCTTATGACTCAAACCAGACAGAGTGCTGAGGGGAGTTCCAGCAGCGCGGCTGTGCGAGGGGGTGCAGGCAGGGCCCTGACCGGGCCGGGGGCTGGCACTGAGGAAAGCAGAGGTTGACAAGGCCAAGGCCAGCCCAGCAGATGGAGACGGGTCGCAGGCAGGGGGGTGGCATGTTGTGAGGCCTCGAGGGCACAGCCTTTTCCCAAGGGGGCCCGTTTCAGAGGGTCCATGCCCTCAAGTGACAGGTGTCAAACCAGCAGCCATGGACCAGCTCCGGCCTGCAGACGGTTTTGTTTGGCACACACACATCTTGTCTTGCTTTAACTTGAACAGCTGACAACATTCTGCCTCAGAAACCGTAACCCCCGCTTCTCGTGGTCGCTGGGAAGGTGGTCCACGCGGGGCCTCCTGTATGCCCACACGGAGCGGTCAGCGTGTGCGCGCCTGGGCCTTTGGGCTGAGGCCCTGCAGGCTGGGGGCCACCTTAGTGCGTCAGACAGAACGCAGGGCACGCAGCGGGCGCTGACTGAGGTCCCCGGCCCAGAGTGTGGGAGCTTCTGTAACAGCTGCTCTTGTCTTTGCAGCCAAAGCCCAGAAGGTGGAAATGGACAAACTGGAAAAGGCCAAAAAGGAGCGAACCAAAGTGAGCGGCGGGCACATGTCCTGGGTGAAAGGGGAAGTGTTTGTGGAGCTTGTGGGTCCTGCTGCCTGAGCCCCGAGGGCTCCGGGCTGCTCTTCCGTCCTGCCCTCCCCCCCCAGTTCATTGCCTGGGGGCGCTCGGAGCAGCCTTAGTGGTGCCTGTGGAGGGACAGGCCTTGCTGCTTTCCCACCGCTCTCAGCTTGAAGTCACTTTCCAGTTGCTTCCATTTGGTTTTTTGGATCTTGTAGTTGCTGCCTTGTCCCTCTGGCCCCTCCCTCTGCAGCTGCAGAGCCCTAGTAGCTCTCTGGGGCCATCAGTGTCCTCCCTGGCCTGAATGGAGGCCAGTGCTTCCTCCTGAGAGCTCTGGCAGTGCCTTGCGTGGCCTCCAGAGCCGACCTCGGTGGCACCTGTAGGCCCCTTGTCTGATGGCCAGGTGACCCCTCACGTTAGGGCCCTGAGCCCGCTCCTTCCCAAGCAGGAGGGACCTTCGGGAGCAGAAAGTGGCTGTGAGCCCCCATGTCCTCCAGCACTTTGCGGCCAGAGTCTCCAAGGGAAAGCTCGGGCAGAGGGCTGTGGCGGCCTTGGAAGCTGTGCTGGGCCGTCGGGTTTTCTCGTTCTTAGCCCTGGACTGCGATTCCCTTCTCCTTTCCCTCCCCTTCCGAGCCCAGGCTTGTGGCGGCTTGTGCGCAGCTCCTGGGCTCCCAGCTTCCTTCCTGAGCCCCCGGCACCCCTTCCTGGCGGGCGTGAGGAGAGGGCCGGGCATGGGCGTGGGCGCGGGAAGGGGTTCCCCTGGCGTGTTCCTCCAAGGAGTAACAGTCCCCTTCGGCGCCTCGAACACCTCCCCTCCCCCACGGTCACGATGGCGCTGGTTCTCCACGCCTGCTCTGTGAGATGCCGGCCACAGGCCTGTCCCCCAGGGCAGACGGCTGGCACAGCAGTGGGACCAGCAGCGTGGCCAGGTCTTACTCCCGCCCCTCCTCCCCTCCAGATCGAGTTTGTGACGGGCACCAAGAAAGGCACCACGACCAGCGCCACGGCCACCACCACCACCACGGCCAGCACCACTGTGGCAGGTCTGTTTCCTGCTGCACCTGCTGCACCGCGGGTGAAGCGAGGGGATCCCCTCGGGGACCCAGGCCACGCACCCCCTCCCTGTGCTTTGTGTGAGCCCAGGGGTGGGAGCCAGCCTGGGAGGCGGGCAGCCCTTGGCTTCCTGGCCGCTCTGAGGTGCCGCCCTCCGCCCGGCCCCTGGCTCTGGGAGGGCGGTGCTGTGTGGTTGTCTGGTCCTGACTCCTCTCCGCTTTGTCTCCAGACGCTCAGAAGAGAAAGAGCAAGTGGGACTCTGCCATCCCCGTGACCACCATAGCCCAGCCCACCATCCTCACCACCACGGCCACCCTGCCCGCCGTGGTCACCGTGACCACCAGCGCCAGCGGCTCCAAGACCACCGTGATCTCCGCCGTGGGCACCATCGTGAAGAAGGCCAAGCAGTGACCCGGCACCAGCTGGGGTGGCTCGGACATTCCTCCCCTTCGAGGGAGCAGCCGCCCCAGGGCTTGGTCAGAGATGAGACTGCGTGATGCCGCCCGCGGGGCTGTGAGGACTGGGACCGCTCCCAGCGGCCGCCCGGAGGCGCCTCTGTGGCCTCCACCAAGGAGGCTGCAGCAGAGGCCTGGGCTGTGGACAGGGCCCCCCGCACCGGGTCCGCGCCCCATTAAAAGTGCTGTGTTCTTATATCCACGGTCTGTGTGCAGGCGAACATGGAGCTCAGGTGCCCTCTCCGTCTTCCGGTTGGGGCTATTCCTCCGTGGTGAGGGGTGGCCCAGGAAGAGCCGTGGCAGGAGGGGGCCAGACAGGGGTGAGGCCCCGTGTGGCTGCTGCCTGCTTCCCGCTTCCAAAACCTGTCAGTTCTCATACCCGGAGCGCAGGCCGCCGTTCCCTCGGGGGTGATTGAGCTTCCCGGCCCCTTGGACACACCCACACTTGAGAGTCCAGCCAGTTCCCAGGAGGGCTGGGTGGGTCCCACCCACACAAGGAGGGGCAGAGCCTTGGCTCCTGGCCGCAGGGCCTGGACCCGGGCACCCCCAGCACTGCCTGGTGTGGGATGAATCACCTCCGGGTCCTCCTGGCCAGGGGGCGGCTCATTGTTTACAGGAGCCCGGCTCCTGGGAGGACCCGCCTCCGCCCTTCCTGCGCTGTTATCTCTGCCCCGCAGCAGCCCCTGGCAGCACCCCTGGCAGCGCCGGCTCCTCTGGGGCCAAAACAGATTTCCCAGCCACGTTCGCCTCTTTCTCTGCCACCTCTCCCGCCGGGAAGGGCTGCGCAGGGCGTCGGGAAGCCGGGCTGTGAGGAGCCCCCTGCTCCCTGGGGCAGCGAAGCTTGGGAAGTGCCCCTAACATGCTCTTAGGTGCATCTGCCCTGCTGTCTCCCCTCCCTCCCCTGCAGCCTCCACCAGAGGCCCCTGCGATGGACCGTGGGGGGCCTCAAAAATAAATGGGACTGCCAGGTGGTTCCTCAGTCACGTTGGGGTATATGTCCCAAAGGAAAGCAAGGGCTGGAACTTCCATAGTCAGTGTCCCAGCGGTGAGAGCAACCAGGCTCCGCTGAAGGCCGTGGGATGAACAAGAGTGGCCCAGACGTACAGGGGACGTGACTCTGTCTGGAAAAGGGAGGAATCTGACCCCGCCGCACTAGCGGGGAACCTGGGACATGGTGCTCGGAGAAGCAAGCCGGTCACAGACACGGGTGTGTGATTCCACGTCCAGGAGGGATCTTTACCGAAGGAGTAAAAGTCATAAAGAGGCAGACGGAACAGTAACCAGGGGCTGTTTAATAAGCATGAAGTTTCTGTGAGAAAGTTCTGGAGATCTGTTGCCCAAAAATGTGGATATGCTTAACCTATTGAACTATACATTGAAAAAATAAGATGGTAATTTTTTTTAATTGGGTTGCTTTGTAATAGTAATTAAAAAAGCTTTTACCCCTAGCCCCAGTCTCAGCAAACAGGCTCGAGAGCCACATGTGGCTCTTTGGCCTCTTGAGTGTGGCTCTTCCACAAAACACCACGGCCTGGACGAGTCTATTTTGAAGAAGTGGCATTAGAAGTTTAAAATATTTGGCTCTCAAAAGAAATCTCAATCGTTGTACTGTTCATATTGGACTCTGTTGACTAATGAGTTTACTGATCACTGCCCTGGTCAGTTTGGTTCAGTGGATACCAGAGGGTACCGGGTTCAATTCTGATAAGGGCACATGCCTCAGATACAGGCTCCTACCCACCTGGTTGGGGCTGGTGCAGGAGGCAACCAATGTTTTTCTCCCTCATCAATGTTTCTGTCTTTCCCTCCCACTCTCTAAAAATCAATGGGAGCCGAAACCGGTTTGGCTCAGTGGTAGAGCATCGGTCTGCGGACTGAAAGGTCCCAGGTTCGATTCTGGTCAAGGGCATGTACATTGGTTGCAGGCACATCCCCAGTAGAGGGTGTGCAAGAGGCAGCTGGTCCATGTTTCTCTCTCATCGACGTTTCTAGCTCTCTATCTCCCTTCCTCTCCGTAAAAATCAAAGTATATTTTTTAAAAAGTATACTTTAAAAAAATAAATAAAAATAAAAAATAAAAATCAATGGGAAAATATCCTCCGGTGAGGATTTTAAAAAAAAATTTTTTTTTTTAACAAAAAAAAGCAACATTCCCCGTGTTTTTGGAGGCACATAGTTCATCCCCTGTTGATGAAGGGAACCTCTTTTTTTTTTTTTTAATCAGAAAGATGCCTTCTATTAAATGTAGAAACAAAATCACAATTCTGCAACATCAAAAGAACAATCCAGGCAAGGACTGACAATGGATCCTTCGTGGAGAGTAACAGGAAACCGGGCCGGGTGACAAGGCGACCCCTGCTCTAGATTACTTCTGAATCACGAAGTGAAAATCATTTTTCTACAAAGAACACAGATGGCTGTCACAACCTAAGACCCCTCTTGCCAAAAACATTTCACCTGGTCCTAGCCAGTTTGGCTCAGTGGATAGAGCGTTGGCCTGCGGACTGAAGGGTCCCGGGTTCAGTTTCAGTCAAGGACACAGGCCCGGAGGGAGGGCACACCCTGGTGTGCAAAAGGATGTGAACAAATGGAAGTCGATCAGTGACTCTCATCATTGATGTTTCTCTCTCCCTCTTCCTCTCTGAAATGAATAAGAATATATTTTTTAAATGTTTCGCCTGAATCTAATCAGACTTTTAGATGTAACTTCCAGTTTGCAGGAGGCTAAAAAAACCAAGCCCAGTGACACCATGTGGAATCAACCAGACAAATCCAGACAGAGGGACATTTCAGGTCAGCTGGCTTTTAAGGTCAATGGGGGCAGGTGCTGTTTTAGAGAGAGAGAGAGAAAGCAATCGCAGTGGGTGCCGTGGGGTGGATGCTAATTCAAAAGGAAATCGTTACAACAGTCTGGGGACAACTGAGAAATTTTAAAAAGGATTGAGTCCGATATTAGAACATTCTCGTTCATTTATTTAGGTGTGATAAAGTTACTGTGGTTGTGTAGGGAACCAGACACACATTTGGAGTGTGGAGAGAGAATGTCATGATATCTTAAATTCAAATAGAAAAATCTACGCATAGCTTTGAGCAGTGGCAGTAACGTAGGTGTATCCGAGGCATGGTTATTGCTAATTGGGGGGGGGAGGGATAAAGTAATACATGACAAACATACAAAATAAATATGACAACATGTTAATTCTTGGTTAGGTCCAGGTAGTAAAAATGCAAATGGTCTTTATATTCTTTTCAACTTTTTTACATATTTGAAAATATTCGAAGTAAAGTTGGGGGAATTATCGTCTTAAAGGGGGTCCCCTGGCCCTTGGAGAGACCAGGCCTCGCCACTGTCCGCCTTGGAGGCCTCTCCCTCAGACGGGGCGGTTGGCACTGCCCCCAAACTGTTCACATGTCCCCTGTCATCTCACTTGTTTCTTCGCAGAAACACATACCACTCTGCAGTAAGCCATGTATGTTGTCAGGCACAAGAATAGCGGGAACAGGCCGCCGCTCTGGCGTTCCCGGGCATGGGAGCTCACCCAATGCGTGAAACATGAATAAGGAATGAACTAATGGGTGCTCTGGCCTGGCCTACCCGACCCCGTGGGAGTGCGGGGCAGTGGAAGTGGCGGTCCGGAGCCCTGTCCTGGCAGAGCCCCCAGGGGGGCCCCTACACGCCGGCCTCACTCTGGCCCTGTGGCTGGCGAGTGGAACAGGCAGGTTTTATTTTGTATCGAATGAATGTGGAATGCAGTCATTATTAACCCCTTTGGGGCCAGTAACCTAGCTGGGAACACAAGTAAACTAAGGACCCCTTCCCAGCCATCACATCCCCTATACCACGTACACTGGGGTTTCTGTTTGTTTGTTTTTTTAATATGTTTTATTGATTTTTTACAGAGAGGAGGGATAGAGAGTTAGAAACTTCATAAGAGAGAAACATCCATCAGCTGCCTCCTGCACACCCCCTACTGGGGATGTGCCCGCAACCACGGTCCATGCCCTTGACTGGAATCGAACCTGGGACTCCGCAGTCCGACACTCTATCCACTGAGCCAAACCGGCCAGGGCTACACCTGGAGTTTTGCACATGATCTCAGGTGGTTCACAGACACCACCATCCCTTCACCCGCCCCCAGGTCCACACACACTCCAGGATTCCAGACTCCCAGAAACCTGGGGAACCGGGGGGGGCTTGTCTTAGGCTGAGTACCGCCACCAAACGGGCTCCTTCCACAGTGCTCCCAGCCCAGAGCCAGCCTCGCCGAATGCCCGTGCAGAGCGGCGCTCAGCGGCCTGGGCCAGGCGGCCGGGCAGTGGCTCCCAGGTGCTCCCGCCGTCACTGACCCACAAGAGCCCTGAGGCTGGGCTCGGCCACGGGTGGAGCACTGCTCGCCTGAGGGAGCACCGCAGGTGCCGGCACTGTGCGAGGAGCTGGGGACAGAAAGAGGTGCGTGAGCGCCCATCCTCAGGGTCCAGCCAGTGGAGAAGAGAGACCTCAGACAGGCCCTTTGGACCAGCGTGGTGGCCGGAAGCGGCAGGTGCGGCCGGGCTGCCAGGGAGCTGCCGAGTGGCACTGTGGGCAGGTGGGGCTGGAGAAACAGACGGTGGGGTCTGGCCCCGGAGACAGGGCAGGGGCGGCGGGAGGGCAGGTGTGTGAACCAGCACGGGAAGAACTACAGCGAATGGAGTGCGGCGGGCGCTGGCCTCTGCATGGAGGTTGTTCACCAGGAAGGAGGTTTGCGTGGTTGCCTGAGGGCCCTCGTCCTAGCTGACCGCCCTCTGGACACATGCGGGGGCTGGGCGAGTGGGAGGGAGAGCCTAGCGAAGGGCAGACCTGGCTGGGGCAGTTTCTGGGCCCGCCCCTGCGCTGGCACAGGAGGGGGCGGTGGTGCCCGCTCATTGCCGTCGGGCTGGGCTGAGGGGCCGCCCCAGCACGGGGAGCGGGAGGGGGGGAGGGCCGCGCCCCCGGGCAGGACTGCAGCTCAGGGTGGCTCCTCCCCGGCCACGGCCACGCCGCCCCGGTCCGGGAGCCGGGCCTGAGCCGGAGCCGGAGCCGCAGTCCTTTCCGGAGGGGCGGGCCGGCGGCGCCGCTCCTGCCCCGACAGGTGTGCGCCGCGCAGGAATGCGCCCGCCTGACTCACCAGCGCCTCCTTCTACCTGCCGCCGCCGCCCATAAAGCGGCCTCCGCCGCGCCCCACGCTCCCGCCTCCGGCCGAGAGCTCCGAGCGCCGCCCGCCGCCCGCTGCCCAGGAGCCCGCCGCCCGCCGCCCGCCACCCGCCGCCCGCCGCCTGCCACCCAGGAGCCCAGGAGCCTGGCTTGGGGAGAGCACCCAGGTAGGTGAGGCCCCCGCCTGGCAGAGGCAGGGGCAGGGGCAGGGGGCAGGGGCAGAGGCAGAGGCAGGGGCAGGACAGAGGCAGTGCAGGGGCAGGAGCGGGGGCAGGGGCAGGGGCAGAGGCAGGGGCAGGGCAGGGGCAGGGGCAGGGGCAGGGGCAGGGGCGGGAAGGCAGTCAGGGGTCGCCGGGAGGCACCCGCCCGCCCCTCGGGGTCCCCTGGCCAACAGGGCTCTTCGGGTTCTGAGAGCGCGGGAGAAGGGGGCACACCGGAGCCGGGGCGGGTGCAGAGGAGTGGATGGGAGTGCTTGCTGGCTTTTGTTTTCCAGTTCTTCCCCTTCCTGGAGTCTGGCTGGCGCTGGCCCCCCTGCCCATGCTGCACGGGGCCAGTGCCAAACCTGCCAGGTTGCCCAGGGCCAGAGGCCCGGGGGGGTACCAGGGGGGACGCACTTGGCCATCAGCCCTCTGACCAGAGGAAGGTGCAGGCCGAGGGGCCTGGGTGCCGGTGGGTGGGTGTGCAGGAGACATGGGCAGAGCGCAGCAGCCTCCCGGGTTTGGATTTGCAAAAAAGGTGGAGGGAACAGCCACGCAGAGGCCAGGGCCCTCGCTGCAGGGCTGGGCAGAGCCTGGGGCAGGAGGGGCGGGGGGAGGGGGTCCCGTCCCCTGGGGCCTGGAGAGTCCCTGACTCTCCTCTGGGCTGAGCACACGCCCGCCCTCCCCACAGAGCGGCCTGGGACACCTCCTCCAGGAAGCTCCCAGGTCTCAGCAGCGGCAGCCCCGGGGCTGTGCCACCCTGCGACCTCCTCTGACGCAGCCCCTGCCCACCTGCTGGGCCCACCGGGGGGGGGGGGGAGTGGGGGGCTGGCCCTCGGTTGTGGCTCCAGGCTGGGCTCCTGCCCCTGCCTGGTGGCTTGGCCACACCCCGAGCCCGAGGCATCAGTGGCCGGGTTGTGGTTGCCTCCCACAGAGCTGGCCGCGAGGGCTGAGGCCCCATCCTGGGAAGCAGGAAAGGGGTGCCGGTCTCCCTGACCTCGGTTTCCGCGGAGGGGCCAGGAAGTGGGAAAGTGGGAGGGCGGCGCCATGGCGGGCGGTGCTCATGGGCCGAGTGGTCCCGGGGGGGGGGGGGAGGGGGGGGGCTCTGAGCCTCAGCCCTTGCGGGTCACGGCCTGTGGCCATGCACTTGTCCTCTGTGCTGCAGGGTCACCCATCGGGGTGGCAGTCCCGTATTCTCAGGACATGGCTGGTCCATCGGGGGGTCAGGGAGGGGGGACCCAGCCCGACATAGCCACACCCTCTGATAAGCCCGCCACCCTAACTTTTTAAAAAAATATATTTTATTGATTTTTTACAGAGAGGGATAGAGAGTTAGAAACATCAATGAGAGAGAAACATCGATCAGCTGCCTCCTGCACACCCCCTACTGGGGATGTGCCCACAACCAAGGTACATGCCCCTGACTGGAATCGAACCTGGGACCCTTGAGTCCGCAGGCCGACGCTCTATCCACTGAGCCACACCGGTTTCGGCTACCACCCTAACTTTTATGTGACGCCACATTGTTTTTCATGTTGAAAACCACTTTTAAAACGTTATGAACACAAGTTGAGTCAAACAAAACACTCGAGTGCATGACTAGCCCCCTAACCCCTCGTTACAGCCTCGGGGGGTCAGCACGGAGGTCAAATGGGGATCCCATCCAGCTCCCCCACTGCTGGCTGCGGGTGGGGCAGCCCAGCCACCTGTGTCTTGGCTCCTCATTGGGAAACGGGTGCTGAGCACCCCCCCTGGGTCCGTTCAGGAGCAGCCAGGCCCCGGCGGTGCTGGGCTCCCGCCGCCATCCCAGCGTGGGCACCGAGGGCGAGAGCCTGCACCCACACCCGTGTGAGGAATGGGGCCCCGGGGCGCCCTGAGCGCAGCCCGTGCTGTGTGTCATGTGGGTGTGGTGCCCGCACCCGAGGCTGCAGGGAAGTCATTTCCCTCCAGGAGCTGACCGGCTCTGCCCGCCGGGTGCTGGAGCTGCTGGGGCCTCCGGGGCCACGTGCCTTCGGCGGGAGAGAGGCAGTGCCTGTCCCCCCACCCCGTCCCCCACTCCCCGGCCTGCCCCCCGTCCCCCACTCCCCGGCCTGCCCCCCGTCCCCCACTCCCCGGCCTGCCTGGCACTGTGGGCGCCTCAGGGCTGGGAAAGGACAGGGGAGCAGGGGCCGATGGGCACGGGGCGGCCCAGTCCCTGGGGACCGGCCCTGAGAGAAGCAGGCTGGTTTTATGGACTGATTTCAGAGGAAGAGGAAGGAGGGAGAGAGCTCAGAGAGTCGGGCTGTCCCCCCGTGGATGGGTCACTGGCAGCTTCTTGTGTGAGCCTGACCGGGGAGCCTCGCCCTCAGCCTGGGCTGCTCTGTCACTGACCAGGCTCCCGCGGGGATGAGGCCCCGGGCCCGGCTCTGCCCAGCTCTGCCCGGCTCTGCAGGCCTGGGCGCTGGCCAGCTCTCTCCCTGCCCGGGGCGGCGCTGTGCCTGCCCTGGAGGCCGCCGATGAGCTGAGACGGTCTAATATGGACCAAGGCAGACGAGGCTCCTGGGCGGTTGGCACAGTGTGTGTGTGTGTACATGTACATGTGTGTGCATTTGTGTGAGTGTGTGTGTGTACATGTTTGTGTGGGTGTGAATGTGTGTGTGTGTACATTGTGTGTGAGTGTACGTGTGTGTGCATGTGTGTGAGTGTGTGTGTGTACATGTTTGTGTCGGTGTGAGTGTGTGTGCCGTGAGTGTGTGTGTGTGAGTGTGTGTGTACATGTTTGTGTCGGTGTGAGTGTGTGTGTGTGTGCGTGTGTGTGTACATTGTGTGTGTGAGTGTACGTGTGTGTGCATGTGTGTGAGTGTGTGTGTGTGTACATGTTTGTGTCGGTGTGAGTGTGTGTGCCGTGTGTGTGTGTGTGTGTGTGTGTGTGCATGGGGGGGGCGGCAGACGGGGCTGCGCTGTCTCCAGCCGAACTTGTGAAAGGGTGAGCTACTCAGGCCTCGCCACCCGACTGCGGGCAGCAGAGGGGGGTGTGGGGCAGGGAACCCGCCTGTGAGGGGGCCCCGCTGAGGGCAGGAAGCCCCTCCTCCTCTCCGAGGCCCCAGGTATCAGAATGGGGGGGACCCTCTCCTCCTGGCTGCCCACCCACAGAGGGAAGGGGCCCGGGCGGAGAGGGGCAGCAGGGAGAGGGCCGTGTTGGGGGCCCTGACCCTGCCCAGCCTGCCCAGGCCCTCTGGGGACTGGAGGCGGTCGGAAGCAGCCCTGCCCGCAGGGCCCGGCGGGAAGCGGGAGCCCGGAGCCCCAAAGGCCAGCGGGTGGGCGGTCCCCCGGGCGGCGGGAATGGGGCCTGGCCGTGCCGGGACTGGACGCTGCTCTGCTCGGCGCCGCCGTGAACTGTCTGTCTGTCCCGCAGGAGGAAGAGGATGGCGGGGCCGCGGCCCAACCCGTGGGCCAGGCTGCTGCTGGCAGCCCTGCTGAGCGCCAGCGTCCCCGGGGACATGGGTGAGTCCCACACGCCCCTGCCACCCCTCCGGTGCGGGCACCCTCCTGTGCGGCACCCTCCTGACACACCCCACCCCCCGGGCCTCTGTCTGAGCCATTTAACCAATGGCCACGGCCACGGTGGGGCTCCCCGGTGGGGGCTGGGGAGCCATGAGCCCTGCGGCTGGAGAATAAGGAGAGGAGGGGAAGGGAGGGGAGGGGAGAAGAGGGGAGGGGAGGAGAGGGGAGGGCAGGGGAGGGGAGGGGAGGGGAGAAGAGGGGAGGGGAGGAGAGAAGAGGGGAGAAGAGGGGAGGGGAGAAGAAGGGAGGGGAGGAGAGGGGAGGGCAGGGGAGGGGAGGGGAGGGCAGGGGAGGGGAGAAGAGGGGAGGGGAGGAGAGGGGAGAAGAACGGAGGGGAGGGGAGGGGAGAAGAGGGGAGGGGAGGGGAGAGGAGGGGAGGAGAGGGGAGGGGAGGGCAGGGGAGGGGAGGGGAGGGGAGGGGAGGGGAGGGGAGGGGAGGGGAGGGGAGGGGAGGCTTGGTCTGGGAGAGAGAAGATGCCCGCTCAGGGAACGGAGCTCCAGCAGGATGTGCTGAGGCCTGGAATCCGGGGGAGAGACCGGTGACTCACCACCTGGTGCCCCTGCCAGCCCTCCTCCCGTGGCTGCAGCCCCTCCTCCGTGAAATGGGATGTGGCCTGAGGTGGTGGCGCTGTGGACAGGGTGAGGGGGGCCAGGGCAGTGTTTACACCCCAGGGATTGGCAGCGGCCGCAGGTCAGGGCTCCCACCGCTCTGGCCAGCCCCATGGCTCAACAGTGACCACAGGCCATCGTCTGGGGCCCAGGAGACCACCCACTGGGCACGGGGTGCACCTAGTAGGTCTTCACTGTGGTTTAAACCGAATAGAACCAACGGGAATCACAGGAGTTTCAGCTCCTTCCTTTGCTGACAGCCTATTGAGTCGGGCCTTGGGCAGGGGACGGAGCGGCCAGGGGGTCCCCCCAGCAAATGGGCCGGCACCCCAGTCTGACAAGTTCCAGGCGCAAGCCCCAGGTCTAGGTGTACCCCCGGGGGCAGGCCGTGCAGCCGCCGCCTCCGTTTCCTCCGTGAACTGGGGAGACCCCGCCCCTCCAGAGCGGGTGCAGGTGGGGATGGCCGGTCTCGGGGTGCGGCTCAGTGTCTGCCCGGTCCCCACCAGCCAACCGCTGCCGCAAGGCCCAGGTGAAGAGCTGCACCGAGTGCATCCGTGTGGACAAGGACTGCGCCTACTGCACCGACCAGGTCCGCCGCCCACCGCCCCGCGCCCTCCCAGCCCCCACCCCCCCACCCCCCTACCCCCCCCACCGCCCGCCACGGCCGCCCGCCGCCCCGCGCCCCGCCCCTGCCGGCGGCGGGTGTGGGAGACGGGCAAGGTCGGGGGACTCAGCGGGGACACATCCAGGGGCAGGCACCGCGCCCCCTGACCCGTCGTCTCCTTCCGGCCAGGAGTTCAAGGACCGGCGCTGCAACACGCAGACGGAGCTGCTGGCCGCGGGCTGCCGGCCGGAGAGCGTGGTGGTCATGGAGGGCAGCTTCGAGATCACGGAGGTGCGGGCGGGCCGGGGCGGCCGGGGCCGGGGCCGGGACCGCCTGCCCCGCCCGCAGGGAGCACCGCCGGCTCTGGAGTGACCCCCTGTGTCCTCCCCCGCCCGGCCCAGGAGACCCAGATCGACACCACCCAGCGCCGCAGCCAGGTGTGGCCCCAGGCGCTGCAGGCCCGGCTGCGGCCGGGCGAGGAGCGGCTCTTGGAGCTGGAGGTGTTCGAGCCGCTGGAGAGCCCCGTGGACCTGTACATCCTCATGGACTTCTCCAACTCCATGTCCGACGACCTGGACAACCTCAAGCAGATGGGGGAGCACCTGGGTACGGCCGGCCGGCACGGAGGACGGGGCGGGGAGGGGCTCAGGACAGCTGCCCCGCCCACGGGAGGGCACACACACACACACACACACACACACGCACACACGCACACACGCACACACACCCAGGACGCCCCGTTCTCAGGGGAGCGTCCCAGCGTCTGGGATTCGGAGAAGGCCCCCCTCCGGCGGCCCCTGCAGGACGCTGGGACCCGGGTCCCGGCCCTCACCTGTGTGTGAGGAGGGACAGGCACTGGGGGTCCGCAGAGGCCGCCTCCTCCCCAGCCGGCCCCGCCCCCCGGCGCTGTGGGGGCGCTGGGGGGCGCTGTGGAGGGGTCCTGGGGGACGCTGTGGGGGCGCTGTGGGGTGCTGTGGGGGGCGCTGGGGGGTGGGTGCTGTGGGGGGCGCTGTGGGGGCGCTGTGGGGGCGCTGTGGGGGGCGCTGTGGGGGCGCTGTGGGGGCGCTGTGGGGGGCGCTGGGAGGGCGCTGTGGGGGCGCTGTGGGGAGCGCTGTGGGGCGCTGGGGGGCGCTGTGGAGGGGTCCTGTGGGGGCGCTGTGGGGGGCGCTGTGGTGGCGCTGTCGGGGCGCTGGGGGGCGCTGGGAGGGCGCTGTGGGGGCGCTGGGGGGCGCTGGGGGGGACGCTGGGGGGCGCTGTGGAGGGGTCCTGGGGGGTGCTGGGGGGGCGCTGGGGGGAGCGCTGGGGGGCGCTGTGGAGGGGTCCTGTGGGGGCGCTGGGGGGGGCGCTGTGGGGGCGCTGTGGGGGCGCTGGGGGGCGCTGCGGCTCAGCCGGCCTCGCTCTTCCCCGTTGACGCCCAGCCCGGGTCCTGAGCCTGCTCACCAGCGACTACACCATTGGATTCGGCAAGTTTGTGGACAAGGTCAGCGTCCCTCAGACGGACATGCGGCCGGAGAAGTGAGTGGCCGGGGGCGGGGGTCCCGGCTGTTGCCCGAGGGAGGGGGCGGCGGGGCGGGTGGGAGAGGGGGCGCGGGCGGCCCTGGCCTGACTCCCCGCCCCGTCCGCCCCGTCCGCCCCCTCCGCCCAGGCTGAAGGAGCCCTGGCCCAACAGCGACGCCCCCTTCTCCTTCAAGAACGTCATCAGCCTCACGCACGACGTGGGCGAGTTCCGGAGGAAGCTGCAGCAGGAGCGCATCTCGGGCAACCTGGACGCCCCCGAGGGCGGCTTCGACGCCATCCTGCAGACGGCCGTGTGCACGGTGTGCGAGGGGCCGCCAGCGGGGGGGGCTTCTCTGCCCGGGCACCGCTGCCCACCGGCCTGCCCGATGCCCCCAGACGCTCTGGGTGGCCCTCCGCTGCCGAGCGGCTTTCCTTGTGCCGGGAGCCACGGCCCCTCGCCCTGGGCATTGGCGGGCGGGGCAGACGTGGAGTCCCGGATCTCTGGAACCTTCCGAGCCCTGATGCCAGCCTCCCACCCGATCTCCTCCCTGATGCCAGGCTCCCAGGGCCCACGGGCTGCCCGGTCTCCATCAGTGACTGGCCGCTGAAGCAGGCACTTGGTTTTACCTGTGTGTGCATCAACGTTTTCCCGTTTTGAAATAATATGCCCATTTAATAGCGTGGGAAGCAAAGGACAGAAATAGCCATGGCGTCGCCACGGTCGGTCGGCAGCCACGGGGGTCCCGCCGGCCAAGCTGGTTTCCGTTTCCTCCTTCCCTGTGGCTGGAATCCTGAGACTTGCTTCTTTTCACTTTGCGCATTTTATCTTCTGTAATCGTCTCCACAATCATCCCGTCTGCCATCTAACCAAGTGCCGTTCGCTGCTGGACCTTCTCACTAACGTTGAGTGGGGCGCTTGCTCCTATGCAGTTAAAGCATTGATGGGGGGGGGATTAAGACCTTGGGGGAGTCGGATGGCCCTGGTCAGATCTTTTTTTTCCCCCTTTGGCCCATCAGCGAGTGTGCAAATATATATATATTTTTTAATATATTTTATTGACTTCTTACAGAGAGGAAGGGAGAGGGATAGAGATCTAGAAACATCGATGAGAGAGAAACATTGATCAGCTGCCTCCTGCACACCCCCCACTGAGGACGTGCCCGCAACCAAGGTACATGTCCTGGACCGGAATGGAACCCGGGACCTTTCAATCTACAGGCCTAGTTTGGCTCTATCCACTGAGCCAAACCGGTTTCAGCCCTGGTCAGATCCTGCATGGCGCTCACGGTGGGCACAGACTCACACCCATCGCCTCCCCTGTCACCGGTTCCTGTCATCCTGTCGTCACTCAGTAATGACGACGGCATGCCGTTCGCCCTGTGGCCTCGCTGGGCCCCCTCCACCCCCCGTGGGGACCCACGTTCACCGTCGCACACGCCAGCGCCGTGACCGCCCTCCTTGCTCTCCCCAGAGGGACATTGGCTGGCGCCCTGACAGCACCCACCTGCTGGTGTTCTCCACCGAGTCCGCCTTCCACTACGAGGCCGACGGCGCCAACGTGCTGGCCGGCATCATGAGCCGGAACGACGAGGAGTGCCACCTGGATGCCACAGGCACCTACACCCAGTACCGGGCCCAGGACTACCCGTCGGTGCCCACGCTGGTGCGCCTGCTAGCCAAGCACAACATCATCCCCATCTTCGCCGTCACCAACTACTCCTACAGCTACTACGAGGTGAGGGGGTCCCGGGGGGTGACCTGGGCCTCACTGGCCGAGAAAGGGGTGGGTGGGGGTCCATGGATCTTCTCGGACGTCTCTCCTCTCTCTCCGTCTCCGCTCCCTCCCTTCATCCCATACTCCTGCCCCGGCCAGCCAGCGCCTCCAGGGGGTGCCCTGGTGGGACAGGGAGGTCCTGGGCCGGCTCACCAGGCAGGCGGGGCTAAGAGGTCAGACTCTGGCTGCAGCAGCAGAGTCCAGGCCTCTGCGATCCCACTGCAAAGCGGAGGTAACCCCGAGCTGTGGTCTGGATGCTGCCGGCTGTCACTCAGCCGGCCCGGCTCTCTCTCTCGCAGAAGCTGCACCGCTATTTCCCCGTGTCCTCGCTGGGCGTGCTGCAGGAGGACTCGTCCAACATCGTGGAGCTGCTGCAGGAGGCCTTCAACGTGAGCCGGGCCCCCGGGCGGGGCTGGGAGGCCGTGGGCAAAGGGTGTCCCCAGTCAGGGAGGAGACACAGGCCAGGCCAGTGAGGCAGGGTCCCGGGGAGTCCGCCTGAGCCCAGCCACCCTGATGCCACCCCAGGCCCCACACAGGGCAGAGCACAGCCAGGCCCCGGGGCTGAGCCCAGGCTCCCCCAGGCCCTGACCCCTGCCCTCCTTTAGCGCATTCACTCCAACCTGGACATCCGGGCCCTGGACAGCCCCCGCGGCCTGCGGACCGAGGTCACCTCCAAGATGTTCCAGAAGACGGAGACTGGGTCCTTTCACATCCGGCGAGGAGAGGTGGTGCGTGTCCACGGGGCCCCAGGGCGGGGCGGGTGGCCTCCGGAGTCAGACAGCCTGGGTTCGAAGGCCCCGGGTCGGCCCCTCGGGTGAGCTGGGCACCTCCCTCGGCGTGTCTGTGACCTCGTCGGCACAGTGGGGTCCGCCTGCCCGGAGCTCAGAGGGTCTCTCAGACGGCAAACGGGCCAGAGGAGGAGGGTCCCTGCGGGTGTCAGGTGATGTGCCCAGAGCGAGCCGGTCTGCAGCCCCGAGGGCGAGCAGGCAGGGAGCTGGGTGCCGGGACCCAGGCACATCCGGAGCTGGAGGCCCACGGGCTGCCTTGGCTGACGGCCCGGTCCCTGCAGGGCACCTACCAAGTCCAGCTGCGGGCCATCGAGGACGTGGACGGGACGCACGTGTGCCAGCTGCCCGAGCAGGACCGCAAGGGCAATATCCACCTGAAGCCGTCCTTCTCTGACGGCCTCCGGATGGACGTGGGCATCATCTGCGACCTGTGCGCCTGCGAGCTGGTACGGCCCTGCCCGGCGGGGGGAGCAGTGGAGCCCGGCGCCCCAGCCCGGCGCCCCGTGGCCGCACCCCCGCCCCATTCACCCCGCCTGCTCTCATTGCAGCAAAGAGAGGCGGGCTCCCCTCGGTGCAGCGGCCACGGAGACTTCATGTGCGGACACTGCGTGTGCAACGAGGGCTGGTGAGTGCGGTGCCACGTGCCAGCGGCTCCCCCGGGCCCCGCACATGCCTGACGGGAGAGGGCACCCTTGTGAGGCACGTCCCGTTCGAAGCACTTTGAGCTGCTTAGACCTGCAGGACGCAGCAGGCAAGGCGGGCGAGAACCAGGACAACCGGCGTCAGGGCGTGGGGGCTGGGCCGGGAACAGGCCTGGGCGGGAGACTGACTCTGCACCTCATACCTCTTGTATTTTTTAAAAAATATATTTTATTGATTTTTTTTACAGAGAGGAAGGGAGAGGGACAGAGAGGTAGAAACATCAATGAGAATCATCAATCAGCTGCCTCTTGCACCACACACACACACACACACACACACACACACCCCGCTGGGGATGTGCCCGCAACCAACGCACATGCCCTTGACCAGAATCAAACCTGGGACTTTTCAGTCGGCAGGCCGACGCTCTACCCACTGACCCACACCGGTTTTGGCAAAATTTGTATTTTTTTTTTTATTAATATATTTAATTGATTTTTTACAGAGAGGAAGGGAGAGGAATAGAGAACCAGAAACATTGATGAGAGAGAAACATCGACCAGCTGCCTCCTGCACACCCCCCTACTGGGGATGTGCCCGCAACCAAGGCACATGCCCTTGACCGGAATCAAACCTGGGACTTTTCAGTCCTCAGGCCGACGCTCTATCCACTGAGCCAAACCGGTTTCGGCCAAAATTTGTATTTTGAAACACACACACACACACACACACACACGTGTTACCTAGTCGGAGAGGAGCTTCTAGGAAGGGTGCGTTGGACATGTCCTTCGTGAGGAAGGGACCAGGGGGCCGAGGTTTGAGTCGGTTCAGCCACTGCCGTCGGTCGGCGGGACTCGGAGGCGGCCCTCTCGGAGCCTCAGTTCTCTCGTCTGTGAAACGGGCGCGTCCGAGGCCCAGCCTGGCCCCGGGCCGCGGGAAGTGACCGGCTCCCCCCTCAGGAGCGGCAAGACCTGCAGCTGCTCCACGGGCTCGCTGAGCGACATCCAGCCGTGCCTGCGGGAGGGCGAGGACAAGCCGTGCTCCGGGCGCGGCGAGTGCCAGTGCGGGCGTTGCGTGTGCTATGGCGACGGCCGCTACGAGGGCCAGTTCTGCGAGTTCGACAACTTCCAGTGCCCGCGCACCTCCGGCTTCCTCTGCAACGGTGAGCGCGGCGCTAGCTCCCTGTGAGGTCTCACAATGTGCCTGGACCTTCTTCCTGGCGTTTGGTGACAGGTTCTCGAGACTTGGAAGTAAGGACAGTTTTTTGTATTTTAATATATTTTATTGATTTTTTTTTTACAGAGAGGGAGAGAGCTAAAGAGAGAAATATCGATGAGAGAGAATCATCGATCAGCTGCCTCTTGCACCCCCACTGGGGATGTGCCTGCAACCAACGTACAAGCCCCGACCGGAATCGAACCTGGGACCTTTCAGTCCGCAGGCCGACGCTCTATCCACTGAGCCAAACCGGTTTTGGCAGTAAGGACAGTTTTATTTCTTACTTCCCAATACTGATAGGGTTTTTTATTTTTATTTTTATTTTTAAATATATTTTATTGATTTTGTACAGAGAGGAAGAGAGAAAGATAGAGAGTTAGAAACATCGATGAGAGAGAGTCATCGATCAGCTGCCTCTTGCACACCCCCTACTGGGGATGTGCCCGCAACCAAGGTACATGCTCTTGACTAGAATCGAACCCGGGACCCTTGAGTCCACAGGCCGACGCTCTATCCACTGAGCCACACCGGTTTTGGCGTCCCGATACTGATAGGTTTTGTTTCCTTTCCTTCCCTTATTGCCTTGGCCATAAACAGGGGGCTCTTAAACAGGGGGCCCCATGGTCGGACTTGTGTTTGGGGTGGTCGCTCTGGCCACAGAGGGGAAAGTGGAAGGCGGGATGGAGGGGAACAGGTGGAGGGAAGGTTTTTGAAGAAACTGAGGAGGAGATGGCTCTGCCCCTGAGCTCAGCGCCCGCAGGCCCTCCCCGGCAGGCGGGCCACCAGGACCGCGGGTCTGATGGGCTCTCCCCTCCCCGCCCCTCCCCGCAGACAGGGGCCGCTGCTCCATGGGCCGGTGTGAGTGTGAGCCCGGGTGGACGGGCCCGAGCTGTGACTGCCCGCTCAGCAATGCCACCTGCATCGACAGCAGCGGGGTAGGCCTGGCACAGAGCGGGGGGCGGGTGGGCAGGGCGGGGCGGCCAAGGGGGATCCGGTCCGGACCGCCCACCCCCTCGGGCAGGGATGGGGGTGCCGCTGGCTCACGGTGCCCCCTCTCACCTCAGGGCATCTGCAACGGGCGTGGCCACTGCGAGTGTGGCCGGTGCCACTGCAGCCAGCAGTCCCTCTACACAGACACCATCTGCGAGATCAACTACTCGGCGGTGAGGCCGGGGTCTGGGGTGTGGGCACGGGGACCCGGGCACAGGGCCCGTGGGCGGAGGGGCTGAGCCTGGTACTAGGGGAGCCGGGTGGGGTGCGAGGTTGGCAGAGAGGCCTGGCGGAGGCCTGCCCAGCACGGCGTTCACCGGCCCCTCCTCCCCCACCAGGTCCGCCTGGGCCTCTGCGAGGACCTGCGCTCCTGCGTGCAGTGCCAGGCCTGGGGCACGGGCGAGAAGAAGGGCCGCACCTGTGAGGAGTGCAGCTTCAAGGTCAAGATGGTGGACGAGCTGAAGAACGGTGAGGGGCGGGGCGGAGGGCCGGGGGCGCCCAGAGCCCGGGCCAGGGGCACTCAGGGGGGTAGGAGGTGTCGCTGATCGGGACAGGGGCACAGAGCTGGGCAGAGGTCTCATCATCTGAATCGAGGCTGTGCAGCCCTGGCCGCCGGTGTGGCTCAGTGGATAGAGCGTCCGCCTGTGGACTTGAAGGGTCCAGGTTTGATTCCGGTCAAGGGCACATGCCCTGGTTGTGAGTTCGTTCCCCAGTGGAGGGCTGCAGGAGGCAGCCGATCAATGATTCTCTCTTCTCATTGACGTTTCTATCTGTCCCTCTCCCTTCCTCTCGGAAAGCAATGAAAATATATTTAAATATATATATATATATGTAATAAAAACCTACTATACAAATCAATCGAACGGCAGTCCGGGCGACCTTCCAGTCGCAGCCCGGCTGCAGCCTCGGGACCGAGGCAGCCGCAAAGGCCCCTCTTGCATGAATTTCGTGCATAGGGCCTCTGGTGTGTGTGTATATATATATATATACTGAGGCTGAGGCTGCGCAGTGAGATGAGGGTTCCAGACCTGGGAGGATCATGGACTCCGGGCAGGAGGACACAGACCCAGGCCACGGGCAGAGCTGGTTAGGGACCAAAGAGTCTGGGACAGCTCTCCCCCCCGCCCCCGACTGGGCGTGAACACAGTGAACACAGCGGGGCCTGTGCCCGGCCGTGTGGGCCCACAGTGCCCTCTCCCTGGGTCAGACTTTCCCAGAAGCCCAGCTCCCAGGTGAGGCTCCGGATGGGGAGGGGGCGCAGATTAGCAGACTTTGGTGCTTCTGGTCAGGGCAGGCCCCACGTCTGTGCAGGGACTTGTGTTCTTCCCCAGGGAGATGCCTCTGGCCCTGGGGGAGGGCCCTGGGGGGCAGGGACCCAGGAGGTGGGCCTGGGTGGGAGTGGGCGCTGGGCGGGCCCTGGTTTGGGGTGGGTTCTGGGTGGGGGGCAGGGACCCAGGGGGCGGGCCTGGGTGGGGCTGGGTGCTGGGTGGGAGCGGGTCCTGGGTGGGGGCGGGCCCTGGTAGGGGTGGGTTCTGGGTGGGGGGCAGGGACCCAGGGGTTGGCCCTGGGTGGGGGCGGCCTGGGGGCGGGCCCGGGTGCGAGGTGCTGACGGCCTGTGTGCAGCGGAGGAGGTGGTGGAGCGCTGCTCCTTCCGGGACGAGGACGACGACTGTAACTACAGCTACACCGTGGAGGGCGACGGCTCGCCCGGGCCCAACAGCACGGTGCTGGTGCACAGGAAGAAGGGTGAGCCGGCCGCCCCGGGCGGGGGGGGGCCCAGACGGCGCCCAGGCTGAGCCCACCTCCTCCCCTTAGACTGCCCTCCCGGCTCCTTCTGGTGGCTCATCCCCCTGCTCATCTTCCTGCTGCTGCTCCTGGCGCTGCTGCTGCTGCTCTGCTGGAAGTACTGTGCCTGCTGCAAGGTGCCGCCCCGGCCCCCGCCCGCCCGCCCCGGGGCCTCGCAGCTGGCAGAGCCGGTCTTCTCCCGGCTCTCATGCCCGCCCCCGCCCCGCCCCTCGGCTCTGCCACCAGCGGCCGGCTGGCTGGGAGCACCTGCCCTGTGGTCAGCCGCCTGCAAAGGGCCGGAGCCCACGCCCTCCCTCCAGGAGCTGCCGGTCGCATTGGGACCACAGACAGGAGGCGGGAGAGCGGGGGGGGCGGCCCGGCCGGAGGCTGCGTTGGGGGAGCCTCCAGGCTGCGGGATGGCGGCGAGGGTTACAGGGAAAGACACACCGGAACTCGCGTGGCCTCTGCAGGACTCCTCAGAGCCTTCGGCCCAGCTGAGGCGTGGTGGAGCCATAGGAGGGGAGGGAGCTCAGAGCCTCCCAAAGGGGCCTGCTCAGAGAGCCTTTACTTTACAGAGGCTCTTGCAAGACCAGGGTCCCCCGGCACACACTTTGGGAACACTCTGCCCCGTCACCCTCTGCGCCGCCCTCTGGGCCCCACCCCGAGTCCCTGCAGCTGCCCGGCTGCCCCGGCGTCTGGGGGAGGCACTGTGGCCTCCGGGCCATCGCTGCGGGTGGGGAGGGGGTGGCCGGGGGCCGGGTGACTGGGCTGGGCAGCTGTCCCAGCCCTCACCCCGCCCCCTGTCCCCTAGGCATGTCTGGCACTGCTCCCTTGCTGCAACCGAGGTACGGGCCTGGCATCCTGGCATCGGCAGGGGCGGCGGGTGGGGGTCCGGCCACTCCTTGCCCAGCGGGGCCGGCAGGGAGGAGGGCCGAGAGCAGGACAGGGAGCAGGCCCGGGTCGCCCTGAGGGCGGTGCGGGGAGGACTCGCGCGGGGATGACTGGCGCGGGGAGCACCGGAGAGGGGAGCACCGGAGAGGGGAGCACCAGAGAGGGCCTCACGCCGAGGGCCGCCCGCAGGCCACATTGTGGGCTTTAAGGAGGACCACTACCTGCTGCGAGAGAGCCTCATGGCCTCCGACCACCTGGACACGCCCATGCTGCGCAGCGGCAACTTCAAGGGCATCGACCGGGTGCGCTGGAAGGTCACCAACAACGTGCAGCGGCCCGGCTTCGCCAGCCACGCGGCCAGCACCAACCCCACGGAGCTGGGTGAGGCCCGCGGGCCCTGGCACCTGGGCACGCTCACGGGGCTCCGGGCCCGGGACCAGCCTCTCCCGTTTCCCCTGCGTGCTGGGCGGGCACGGGCCTGGCCACCTCTGCCCGTCGTGATGGCGCTGCCGCGGTGCCCCCGGCCTGGAGGGGCTTCTGCGGTGGCCGCCATGCCAGGCGCTTACGCCCCCCCACTGCCCCCCCAGTGCCCTACGGGCTGTCCCTGCGCCTCGCCCGCCTGTGCACGGAGAACCTGCTGAAGCCGGACACGCGCGAGTGCGGCCAGCTGCGCCGGGAGGTGGAGGAGAACGTAAGGGCCTGGGCCGGGCCGGACCCGGGGGCGGGGGAGCCCCCAGCAGCCCCAGGGACCCGGTGCTCCCGGTGGGCGGGGCCTCCGAGGGCATGGTCTGGGGTGGCGGCTCCTGGGAGCGGCTCCCGCGGGGAGGAGGCCCGGGCGCGCCCACGGGGAGGCCCGCCGGCCCAGGCCCTCACGCCCGCCCTTGCCCGGCAGCTGAACGAGGTGTACAGGCAGATCGCCGGCTCGCACAAGCTCCAGCAGACCAAGTTCCGGTGCGTCCTGCCCGGGTGCCGGGCGGGTGCGGGTGGGTGCGGGGCGGGTGCCGGGGTGGGTACGGGAGCCTCCCAGGCCTGGGCTCACATCCCCTTTCTCCCCACAGGCAGCAGCCCAACGCCGGCAAGAAGTGAGTTGAAGACACGGGTGGGGGGGGGGGTGCCCGAGGAGGGACAGCCCCAGGTACCTGCCCGCCTGCCCCTACCCCACCCCCGCCCCATGGCCACCCTGCAGGTGGGGAAGGCCGTGTCTGCAATGGGGTGGGACCTGCATTTGAGCCCTCCTAGGAGCCAGCCCTGTTCAGACAGGGAGACCAGGGTGGCCCCCTGCAAACCGAGGCTGAAGAAGGTTCCAGAAGGCCACCTGGTTATTAAGAAATAGGACTGGCCCTCATTGGTGTGGCTCAGTGGATAGAGCGGCGGCTTGCAGACCAAAGGGTTCCGGGTTCGATTCCAGTCAAGCACATGCACCTCGGTTGCAGGCTCCTCCCAGCCTGGGCCTTGGTCAGGGCAGGAGGCACCCATCCATGTGCTTCTCTCACAGGGATGTTCCTCTCTCTTTCCCTCTCTCTCGCTCTCCCTCACAACCAATGGAGCCGAAATGGGTTTGGCTCAGTGGATAGAGCGTCGGCCTGCGGACTGAAGGGTCCCAGGTTCAATTCCGGTCAAGGGCATGTACGTTGGTTGTGGGCACATCCCCAGTGGGGGCTGTGCAGGAGGCAGCTGATCGATGTTTCTAACTCTCTCTCTCCCTTCCTCTCTGCAAAAAATCAGTAATATATATATTTTTAAAAAATAATAAAAATCAATGGAAAAATATCCTCGAATGAGGATTGCCAAAAAAAAAGAAGGAAGGAGATAGGGCCAGGACGCCTGCACCCTCAGCATCTCTGCGCCCTGCCTCTCGGGGCCAGAACCCCGCTCCCCAGGGGAGGCCCAGCGGCGGGGGCCCAGGGCGTGGCCGAGGCTGCCGGCCGGCCTGGTGCTGAGGAACCCGCCCTGTTCGCTGCCCCACATCGCGCCCCGGGAAGACGGGCACCGTGCCACCCGGCCGCCTGACCCCGCCTGCCCCCCAGGCAGGACCACACCATCGTGGACACGGTGCTGATGGCGCCCCGCTCGGCCAAGCAGGCCCTGCTCAAGCTGACGGAGAAGCACGTGGCCCAGCGGGCCTTCCACGAGCTCAAGGTGGCGCCCGGGTACTACACCCTCACCGCGGACCAGGGTGAGCGGCGCCCGGCTTCGTGTCCCCCCGGCTCCGTGTCCCCTCCCCCGGCTCCGTGTCCCCCACCTGGCTCCGTGTCCCCCCCCCTGGCTCCGTGTCCCCCCGGCTCCGTGTCCCCCCGGCTCTGTGTTCCCCCCCGGCTCCATGTCCCCCCGGCTCTGTGTCCCCCCCGGCTCCGTGTCCCCCCCTGGCTCCGTGTCCCCCCCCCTGGCTCCGTGTCCCCCCCGGCTCCGTGTTCCCCGGGTTCTGTGTCCCCCCCCAGGCTCCATGTCCCCCCCCCCGGGCTCTGTGTCCCCTCCGGGCTCCGTGTCTCCCCCCCTGGGTTCCGTGTCCCCCAACGGGCTCCATGTCCTCCCCGGCTCCGTGTCGCCCCCGGGCTCCGTGTGTCCCCCCCCCTGGCTCCGTGTCCCCCCCCGGGCTCCGTGTCACCCCCGGCTCCGTGTTCCCCGGGCTCCATGTCCCCTCCGGGCTCCGTGTCCCACCCCCGGGCTCCGTGTCCCACCCCCCGGCTCCGTGTCCCCCTCCCCGGCTCCGTGTCCCCCCGGCTCCGTGTCCCCCCCCGGGCTCCATGTCCCCCCCCGGCTCCGTGTCCCCCCTGGCTCCGTGTCCCCCTCGGGCTCCGTGTCCCCCCCCAGGCTCCGTGTCCCCCCCGGCTCCGTGTCCCCCCCCGGGCTCCGTGCCCCCCCCGCCCCGTGCGGCCCACCTCTGACCCCCCCCCCCCGCAGACGCCCGGGGCATGGTGGAGCTCCAGGAGGGCGTGGAGCTGGTGGACGTCCGGGTGCCGCTCTTCATCCGGCCGGAGGACGATGACGAGAAGCAGCTGCTGGTGGAGGCGCTCAACGTGCCCATGGGCACCGCCACCCTGGGCCGCCGCCTGGTGAACATCACCGTCATCAAGGAGCAAGGTGGGCGGGCGCGTGCGCGAGAGGCGGAGGGGGGTCCGGGCCTGGCTGCTGCGGCTCCGTGGGTGTCAGCCTGCGGGCGGGAGGGTCCCGGGTTCCATCCCGGCCAAGGGCACAGGCCCAGGTTGCGGGCTCGATCCCCAGTGCGGGCGTGCACGAGGCAGCCGATCAATGATTCTCTCTCATCGTTGACGTGTCTCTCTCCCACTCCCTTCCCTCTGGAATCAATAAAAAACAGAATAAGGGGAGCTGGGCCCCTGGCATTCGAGTGGAAGTGGGCCTGGCTGTGGGCCTGGGCAGGTCACGTAACCTCTGCGAGCCTTGGTTTCGCCATCTGTAAAATGGGCGCAGGCTCTTACCCGGAGCTTCCCTTACGGGAGCCGGGTCTGCCTGGAGCCATCCCCCGTCCCTCCCCTGCCCTCTCCCCTCCGGCCTTTGAACCAGCCATTGGCTGGACCTCCTGGGATGCCCGGCCATCAGAGCAGGAAGGAGTGGGGCCCCTGTGCCCAGGCCTATCCAGGGGGCGGGCACGCAAGCTGCTCCGTGCACTCAGGGCCTCACCTCGGCTGTGCCCCCACCTGGCCCCTCCAGGATGTGTGCTGGGCCCTGCCCCAGCCCCTTCAGCCTTTTCTGGAAAAATGTCCCTTCGCCTTCCTCGGCCCTCCCAGGCCCTCCCCAGGGCGGTGGGGTGCGGGGGGCAGGCAGCCTGCTGGAGTCCGGGCCGGGCGGGGGCGGGGGCGGGAGGAGAGGGGGGACTGAGGTTGGGACCCTCTGACTGTGCCGGCCCCTCGCAGCCAACGGCATAGTGTCCTTCGAGCACCCCGAGCACCTGGTCAGCGTCGGGGAGCAAGTGGCCCGCGTGCCCGTCGTCCGGCACATCCTGGACAACGGCAAGTCCCAGGTGTCCTTCCGCACCCAGGACAGCACGGCGCAGGCCCACCGGGTGAGCTCCGCGGGCTGGGGCGCGTCCCGGGGGCGGGGGGGGGGGCGGACAGGGCGCTGCCTGGGTCCCTGGCGCCTGTCGGTGGGTGTGCGTGGTGTGACTTGCAGGCTTGTTGGTTTGTGTTTCGGAGTTTATTGGCAGTATTTAAAAACTAAAAATATTCCAGTCAAAAATTATCTCAAAAAAACACTAACTTCTAGTCTTACTGGGCCCACAGGGCCATTTGGCCAAGGCAGGGGGCATGCACCCAGCAGGTCTGGCTGCCTGGCCACCCAAGTCTTGTTTTTATTGGTCGGAGAAGTTTTCATTACTGATTCGATGCTCCCAATATAAATTCCAAAGGAGAATGTGTATGTCCGGAAATTTCACAGAAAAGGCCATAATCTACAAGAGGTTCCGGCTGCCCTGTTAGGCTTTTATAAAAATGCTTTTGGTATTTAACAATTTTTAAAAACCATTTTTATTATTTTCCAACTTTTTTATTTTGAAAAACGTCAAACCTCCTGAAAAATGGAAAAACTAATAAAATTAGCATGTGTGCCCTTTAGATAGATCCACCTGCTGTTACTATGCTTTCTCTGTCTTTCTGTACAGACCAGGTATCCATGCATATGGATACAGACGTATTTGAACTTCCTCATCTGTATGATTGTAGGGAGAGGGGAGGGGGAATCTGGCTTAGTTCTACACTAAGTGGCCAGATTAGGATGATCTCTGAGCACATAATAATCTGGCCACTCAGTGTATAGCCAATATAATAAAAGGCTAATATGCAAATTGTCCCCTCAACCAGCAGGCAGGCCAGCCAACTGCCCATGTTCCCTCCCCTTGGCCAGGCTGGCCGGACCCCACCCATGAACGAATTCATGCACTGGGCCTCTAATACACACACACACACACACACACACACACACACACACACTCTGAGGGGCCAGACTATTATGCGTTCAGAGATCACCATAATCTGGCCACTCGGTGCATTTGCTGAACTCTCCACAACCGTAGCTTTCCTGTGGACCCTACCTACGTGGGGCACCTGCCAGGAACCCGGTCATTCCTTCTGCAAAACTGCGATAGCATGACCGCACTCGGGAAACTTCCCGTCCAACCCGCATCTGATTGTCAGTCCGCATCCAGAGCTCCCTGCACTCGGGGTGCCCGTGTGTGTCCCTGATTGCCTGTCCTGCTCCGAGGGGCAGAGAGCTGGCGTCGGCCTGAGGCCCTTGTCTTGAGGTTCCTTTATTTTTTTAAATTTTTAAAAATATTTTTATTGATATTTTACAGAGAGGAAGGGAGAGAGATAGAGAGCTAGAAATGTCGATGAGAGAGAAACATCGACCAGCTGCCTCCTGCACACCCCCTACCGGGATGTGCTCGCAACCAAGGTACATGCCCCTGACCGGAATCGAACCCGGGACCTTTCAGTCTGCAGACCGACGCTCTATCCACTGAGCCACACCGGTTTCAGCTTGAGGCTCCTTTAATCCAGAGCAGTTTCCAGCTTTGAGTTTCATGACTTTGACATTTTAGACCGCCCCCCCCACCCCGCCCCCGCCGGCCCATGTGGAGGACTTGCAGGGATTCCTGCCTGTCTCACGCTGGGTTTGGTAGCACCTGGATTGGCCTGGTGGGCACCGTGGGCCGGACCTCCATGCCTGGAATTGAACTGTTAGTCTCGGGGCGCCACCTCGTGGTCGGATGTGGGGATTGCCGCCCCACGCCCGTTCCGGCTGATTCCTCACCGCGCGCACGTGGGACAGACGCTCAGGAAAGCTCTGGGCGCCGCGCGTGGAAAGTGGGAGCTGGCCGAGACCGGTTTGGCTCAATGGATAGAGCGTCAGCCTGCGGACTGAAAGGTCCCGGGTTCGATTCCGGTCAAGGGCATGTACCTTGGTTGCGGGCACATCCCCAGTGGGGGGTGTGCAAGAGGCAGCTGATCGATGACTCTCTCTCATCGATGTTTCTATCTCCCTCCTCTCTGTACAAAATCAATAAAATATATTAAAAAAAGAAAAAAAAAGTGGGAACTGATAGAAGCACCCGGCCCAGCAGGCGGGGCCTGGGGCTGGCAGGGTCCCAGGCTGCAGAGCCACAGCCTGGGGGGCCTGAGTCCCAGCGCCTCGGGGATGAGTGCCTGCCCGCGGGGGTCTCTCTGCCCGGGTTCAAACCCTGGCTCCTCCACAGCGGCCTGGGTGAACTCGGGCACGTCTCTGCCCCCGTGGGCCTCAGTCCCTCGTCTGTAAAATGGGGACAATGCTCTCTCCCGCCCTCTGCTGTGAGCAGGAACTGAGCTAATCCTTGCCAGTGCGGCACAGGGGGAGCCCCGGGAGCTGGCGCGGCGGCCTGTGGGGGCGGCCCGGGCGGGATCGCTGCAGTGTCCCCGGGGTCGGGCCCGGCGGGCGGCCGGGCTGACCCTCCCCACCTGCAGGACTACGTCCCGGCCGAGGGCGAGCTGCTGTTCCTGCCCGGGGAGACCTGGAAGGAGCTGCAGGTGAAGCTGCTGGAGCCGCAGGAGGTGGACTCGCTGCTGCGGACCCGCCAGGCCCGCCGCTTCCACATCCAGCTCAGCAACCCCAAGTTCGGGGCGCGCCTGGGCCAGCCGCACGCGGCCACCGTGGTCATCGGGGAGCGAGGTGGGCGTCCGGCCGCGCCCCCGCTCCAGCGCCCACCAGCGCGTTCGCAGCCTAGTCCGCCCCCCGCGATGTTCAGGATTTTCTGACCCCGAGGAAAGTGTGGGCTGCTTGCTGGAAATTCTAATGTTCCTAGGCATCCTGCATTCTACCTGGCACCCCTGTGCTCACCGCGAACCCCAGGATTTTTACACTTTAGGGGTGAAAGGGTTAGTTCTGATGGGACCTTAGCCTCCTGGATGTGAGCGCCCCCCCAGAGGCGCTTGTGGGAAAAATTAAAGAGGAGGGTTCTTGGAAGGAGGAGCGAATGTCCTCCTGGGAACAGTCCCTTGGCTGCCAGACCGTCTCCCCCCTCCTCCTCGTTTTTCCAAAGACCCTCGTGGGCCCGCCTCCAAGCTGGGCAGGATGCCCGGGGGCACCCCTGGGGGCACCGGGGAGAGGCTGCAGGGCAGGTGTCCCAGCACCCTGGGTGTTGCAGGGGCCCCTGCGCCCCCTGGTGGCGGGAGTGAGAGTCTGCGGTGGGAGGGGATGTCCCAACTGGCTGCCCGCCCTGGCTTCACCCTCTGTAGACGAGCTGGACCTGACCTTCCAGAACCAGACGCAGTCTGCGTTCCCAGTCCCCCACGGCGCCCTGGGCGCCCCGCAGAACCCCAATGCCAAAGCCGCCGGGTCTCGGAAGATCCACTTCAACTGGCTGCCGCCTCCTGGCAAACCAACAGGGTACCGGGTAAGGCGGGGCGGTGAGGGAGGGTCATGAGGGGGAGCGGGCATGTGGGCCCCGGTGGGCCCGGCATCTGTGCCCAGGAGCTTTCAGACGTTTTCCCTCCTTCCTGGAGCGTGCCCCCCCCCTTCCCTTCCCCCAGCCCTGCTGTGTGAGCCCAGCAGGGCACTCAGCCCTGGGAGCCTTGGTGTCTCACTGGGCAGAGGGGACAGTAGGGCAGGTCAGTGGAGTCCCAGCCGCTTGGCGCTCCTGCTGACCGGCCCCTCCCCTGCGGCAGGTGAGGTACTGGGTCCAGGGGGACTCCGAGTCCGAAGCCCACGTGCTCGAGAGCAAGGTGCCCTCGGTGGAGCTCACCAACCTGTACCCATACTGCGACTATGAGATGAAGGTGTGCGCCTTCGGCACGCAGGGCGAGGGCCCCTACAGCCCCCTGGTGTCCTGCCGCACCCACCAGGAAGGTGAGCCTGCCACGCCCGGGCGCCCAGCCTGATACCCTGACACCCTGATGCCTGTATGCCCAGCCCTGACACCCTGATGCCCGTATGCCCAGCCCTGACACCCTGATGCCCGTATGCCCAGCCCTGACACCCTGATGCCCGTATGCCCAGCCCTGATGCTCTGATGCCTGTATGCCCAGCCCTTACATCCTAATGCCTGTATGCCCAGCCCTGATACCCTGATTCCCTGATGCCTGATGCCCGTATGCCCAGCCCTGACGCCTGATGCCTGTATGCCCAGCCCTTACATCCTAATGCCTGTATGCCCAGCCCTGATACCCTGATTCCCTGATGCCTGATGCCCGTATGCCCAGCCCTGACGCCTGATGCCTGTATACCCAGCCTGCCCCCTGCCTCCTGGATCCCTGCCCTCTTCTGCCGCTGACCGCTCTCTTCCTGCCCCCCCCCCGTCCCCCCCAGTACCCAGCGAGCCAGGGCGGCTGGCTTTCAACGTCGTCTCCTCCACGGTGACCCAGCTGAGCTGGGCCGAGCCCGCCGAGACCAACGGAGAGATCACCGCCTACGAGGTCTGCTACGGCCTGGTCAACGAGGACAACCGTGAGCCTCCTTCCGCCGGGGGGGTGGGGGGGCGCCGTGGAGGGCGGGGCCGCTGGGAGGGAGGCCGCCTCGTCCCGCTCAGCCGGCGGCCCTGCACCGGGCACCTGGGCATCACTGGGTTTCTGGTCCGGTGCAGGCTGGTTGCATTCAGAGGTCAGGCCCAGAGGTCTCCAGGCCCGGAGCGGGGGGGAGGCCTGAGGTTACACCGGTGCCGTGGGCTCAGAGGCAGGTGCCTTCCCACACCGGTAACCAGGCGGCTAGTTCTCACACCGTTCATTCTCTTGGGGGCAGAGTTGCCAGGTTTAGCAAATAAGAACACAGGACACCTTGAACTTCAGATAAACACGTTTTTAGTACATTTCACGCCACACTTCCTGGCGGCCCCAGGCCTGAGGGCCCGCCAGAACCAGTCTGGGAAGGGAGGCGGGTGTGGCGATCCCTGCCAGTCCTCAGGGTGAGGGAGAATCTGAGGAAGGTGGTCCGAGCCCTCGCCGCTGCGTGGTCAGTCCCGGAGGGCGAGCTCTCCACCCCTCTGACCGGCGGCCCTGGCGCGGGGCAGGCTCAGCCGCCCGGTGGCCCCTGGGCAGAGGGCAGCGGGGCTGGTGGCGCTGGGCACCAGCTGGTGGCTCTGTGCCAGCCAGGCGCACCACGCACCGCCTCCTCAGCATCCGTGGCACATCCTGGGCTCGTTCTGAGTCCACGGCACTTGGTCCACGTCCTGAAGCCGCCTCTGACCCTGCCTCCAACCCCAGGGGGGCAGGCACCCGCCGGAAGCTCACGGCCGGGGGTCTCAGTGCACAGCTTCCGCTTGAACGGGGGCCCAGCCTGAGGCATCAGCACTTGGTGCCCCCTCCCCTGCTCCCGCCAGCCGAGGGGCTGTGAGGGGCTGGGCGCTGGCGTTAGAGACCCCGCAGGCGGACAGTCTTCGTCACCGTCCTGTGAGCGGGTCCTGGCGGGGGGACATCGGGCCGGCCCCGTGGGAAACTGAGACGCGCCTGGTCTCCTGGAACCCGTTACCCGTTAGAGGTGACCCTGGGCCACCTGATGCCGCCACTTACCTTAGTGCTGAGCCTTTGGAGAGCTGGCGACACGTGTCTGAACCAGTCCCCCAGGCTCTCGGGGGCTGGCTCCCCAGGGGTTCAGCGCTGTCCGCTCCCTGCCTGTCCCGGAGCCCCCCCTTCCCAGGGTGCCAGGGGCAGGCACCCGGACGGCCCTCTGAAGCCCCTCCCTCCCTCCCGCCCAGGACCCATCGGGCCCATGAAGAAGGTGCTGGTGGACACCCCCAAGAAGCGGATGCTGCTCATCGAGAACCTGCGTGAGAACCAGCCGTACCGCTACACCGTGAAGGCGCGCAACGGGGCGGGCTGGGGGCCCGAGCGGGAGGCCATCATCAACCTGGCCACGCAGCCCAAGCGGCCCATGTCCAGTGAGTGGGGGGGCACGGGGTGGACGGGGGCCCGGGAGGGGGGACAGGGGGCCGGGAGGGGAGACAGGGGCCCGGGGAGGCACAGGCCGGACGGGGGCCCAGGTAGGGAGGACGGGGGGGCCCGGGGAGGCACAGGCCGGACGGGGGCCCGCGAGGGGCAGACAGGGGGCCCGGGGAGGCACAGGGCAGACAGGGGCCCAGGTAGGGAGGACGGGGGCCTGGGGAGGCACAGGGCAGACAGGGGCCCGGGTAGGGAGGACGGGGGCCTGGGGAGGCACAGGGCAGACAGGGGCCCGGGTAGGGAGGACGGGGGCCTGGGGAGGCACAGGGCAGACAGGGGCCCGGGTAGGGAGGACGGGGGCCTGGGGAGGCACAGGGCAGACAGGGGCCCGGGTAGGGAGGACGGGGGGGCCCGGGGAGGCACAGGGCAGACAGGGGCCCGGGTAGGGAGGACGGGGGCCTGGGGAGGCACAGGGCAGACAGGGGCCCGGGTAGGGAGGACGGGGGCCTGGGGAGGCACAGGGCAGACAGGGGCCCGGGTAGGGAGGACGGGGGTCTGGGGAGGCACAGGGCAGACAGGGGCCCGGGTAGGGAGGACGGGGGGGCCCGGGGAGGCACAGGCCGGACGGGGGCCCGCGAGGGGCAGACAGGGGGCCCGGGGAGGCACAGGGCAGACAGGGGCCCAGGTAGGGAGGACGGGGGCCTGGGGAGGCACAGGGCAGACAGGGGCCCGGGTAGGGAGGACGGGGGGGGGGGGTCCGGGGAGGCACAGGGTGGACGGGGGCCTGGGAGGGCGAGACAGGGGGCCCGGGGAGGCACAGGCCAGGTGGGGGCCCGGGTAGGGAGGACGGAGGGGCCCGGGGAGGCACAGGCCGGACGGGGGCCCGGGAGGCCAGCCGGGGGCTCCGCTCACCCCCCTCTCCCCGCAGTTCCCATCATCCCCGACATCCCCATCGTGGATGCGCAGGGCGGGGAGGACTACGACAGCTACCTCATGTACAGCGACGAGGTGCTGCGCTCCCCGGCCGGCAGCCAGCGGCCCAGTGTCTCCGACGACACCGGTGAGAGGTCCCCTGAGGAAGCTGGGGGTCGGGAGAGGGAGGGGCTGGCACGGTGTCCAGAGAGAACACGGGCCAGTGACCTCGGGCATGAAGGTCAGTGGTGTGTCAGGGACAAAGCGCACGGCCCGCGTGCAAACACGGTGCATCTGTGCAGGGGGGCAGGGGCAGAGGCGCACAGGCCCTGCACACGCGCTCCACGCATGGCCACGGGACCGCGCGGACACACGGCTCTGCAGCTGGAGGCCGGCCAGCTGTGCCGTGGAGTCAGGGCCCCCGGGGCCTCCCAGGGAGGCTGAGAGAGGAGGCAGGCATGGCCCGGAGGCCTCCTCCGTTCCCACACACGGCGGTGCAAAGCGCCCCCTGCTGGACTCCCAGCCACAGTTGGAGCTACCGGCTCCGCTGCAGGGGTTCAGACAAATCACTCACAGGCTCTGTGCCTCAGTTTTCTGATCTGTACAATGGGCTGCCCTCGCATCATGCCCTGAGTACCAATCCTCTAGGCCCAGGCAGAGTGTGGGCTTAAGGAGCCTCAGCCTGGGCATCCTGGGAGGGCTCAGTCTGGGGGCAAGAGGGCAAGTTCAAGGGCTACTGACACCCCCCCCCACTCCCCACCCCGAACATCCTGGCTTGGGGAAGTGTCCCTGGGAGGCTGGCAGGAAGAGATGGGGACACTGAGGCTCAGAGCAGGGAGTCCTCACAGCTGGTGGCAGAGCCAAGGCCGCCCTGGTCTCCGGCCGTGCCTTACCGCGGCCCCCAGGCTGCACCGGCTCAGTCACAGGAGGGGCCTTCGCCGCTGCCTGGCCCCGCCCCGCCCCCACCGGATCCCAAAGAGCCCGAGGACCGCCCGCTCCGCAACGCGCCCTTCGTTGTTCCCAAGGCGGCGGCTGGCGGTTGGAGGCCCTGCCGGGGGCGGAGCTGGACCTGCGGCGCGTCACGTGGCGGCTGCCCCCGGAGCTCATCCCGCGCCTGTCCTCCTGCAGCGGGCGCTCCTCCGACGCCTCCGAGCCCCGAGGGCCCCCGGACCCCGCCGACGGGGGCGCCGGGGGCGAGGGCGGCAGCTGGGCCCCCGGAGGTGACCGGCGCAGCCCGACCCCACCCACCAGGCTCACCCCTGGCCGTCGGGGCCCAGCCGGAGCTCAGCTCGCTGGGGCCAGGCTGCCCACTGAGGCCCCCCCCAGGCTGAGCCGGGCTGAGCCGGGGCGTGGAGGCAGCCTCCCTCCCCTCCCCCAGGCCGAGGCCCCCCGGGGCAGGGCTGGCTGCGGGACTGCGTCTCCAGCTGCCCAGCGGGCTCGCCTGTCCACAGTGGCCTGGCGCCTGGCCTGGCCGGTGGCCGGAGACCGGGGGCTGCAGGACCTATGTGGCTCCGTGGACGCCCCCTTGTGGGCCAAGGGAGGCCCCAGTGGCCAGGGGATTCCCAGGGCCGCCCGGTGTCGGCCTGTCGGTGACCGGTGACCCCACTCTCCCCCGCAGAGCACCTGGTGAACGGCCGGATGGACTTCGCCTTCCCGGGCAGCGCCAACTCCCTGCACAGGCTGGCCGCCACCGGCGCCTCCTACGGCGCCCACCTGAGCCCGCACCTGCCCCACCGCGTGCTGAGCGCCGCCTCCACCCTCACCAGGGACTACCACTCGCTGACGCGCACCGAGCACTCGGGCGCGGGCACGCTGCCCAGGGACTACTCCACCCTCACCTCCCTCTCCTCGCAGAGTGAGTGCACGCCACCCGCCTCCTGCTGCCCTCCTTCCTTTTAAAAAATATTTTCTAAAATTAAATACTTTAAATTGATGTAAGAGAAGGAGAGGGAGAGAGAGAAACATCAATGATGAGAGAGAATCATGGATCGGCTGCCTCCTGGACGCCCCCAGCTGAGGATCGAGCCCGCAACCTGGGCCTCTGCCCTGATTGGGAATCGAACCGTTACCTCCTGGTTCAGAGGTCGATGCTCAGCCACCGAGCCCCGCTGGGCAGGCTGACCTTTCCTCCGGCTCCTGGGCTGCCCCGGCCCGCTGTCCCCCCTGCCTGCCTCCAGCACACGTACTTCCCCCCCTCACTCCCGTTTCGTCCACCCCAGGCCTCCCTCCCATCTGGGAAGGCGGGCGGAGCAGGCTCCCGCTGTCCTGGTCCCTGGGGTCCTGGAGTCGGGCTCGGATGAAGGGGTTCCCCCCTTCCAGGGACTCACCAGACTCTATAATCCTGGCTGGGCAGCCAGCAGCGCCCCCCTGGGGCCCAGGTAGTACAGCATGGCTGCCGAGTCTCCACAGCCGTCCGCTCCATCCGTCACCCACGCATCGCAGTCACCGCCATGACCTGCATCCCCCCATCCATCCACATCCCGCTGTCGCTAACCGCCTCGCCTTCCCGGGGGGGCGGGCTGGGCAGGAGGGGCGGGGCCCGCCGAGGGGCGGGGGCTCACACCACCCTGAGGACAGGCGGGAGGCGCCAGGGGGCCTGGACGGGCTGTTGCCGGGGAGTGAGCCGCCTGGCCAGCAGGCAGCGTGGGCGGGACAGCCGAGGGCGGTCGGTCAGGAGCTGGACTCGGACTCCTGCCCCGGGACCCCGAGCCGGACTGACTGTGGCTCCTGCCTCCAGGTTCCCGCTTGGCTGCCGGTCTGCCCAACACCCCCACCCGCCTGGTGTTCTCGGCCCTGGGGCCCACGTCCCTGAAAGTGAGCTGGCAGGAGCCGCAGTGCGAGCGGGTGCTGCAGGGCTACAGCGTGGAGTACCAGCTGCTCAACGGTGGTGAGGCCCGGCCACGTGACCCCGGGCACCGGGCTGAGGCAGGAACCCACCCACGGCTCACTGCTGAGCCCTCCCCCCCTCCCCGGGGGCCCCCCAGGCTACTCCCCGGGCAAGATGCTGCCCGGTGAGGCCTCACTGGCCTCGGACCAGGCCCTCTGCTGGCCTAGAGGCCTTTTGGGAACTGGCACCTTCTGGGCAGACAAACTCTCAGCAGCATGACCCACAGACAGAGCACGGGGTTTCCAGCCCCCCCTTCCCTGGGTAGCGGGCAACCTGCCCCCAGACCGCACAGGCTGGCCCCAAACCAGCGGCTACCGGTGGGTGCTGACCGGGTCTCAGCAGCGGCCCCGGGGCGGGGGAGAGGGGAGGAGGAGGGGGCGGACCAGGCAGGAGCAGGAATAAGGCTGCTCCCCGCCCCCCAGGTGAGCTGCGTCGGCTGAACATCCCCCACCCCGGGCAGACGTCGGTGGTGGTGGAGGACCTCCTGCCCAACCACTCCTACGTGTTCCGCGTGCGGGCCCAGAGCCAGGACGGCTGGGGCCCGGAGCGCGAGGGCGTCATCACCATCGAGTCCCAGGTGCACCCCCAGAGCCCGCTGCTGCCCCTGCCAGGTGAGCTGCCCCCATCGCCACCACCCCAGCTGCCCCCACACCCCGCCTCTCCGGGCGGCTGGACCCACGCGGCCTCTCCCTCCGCCAGGCTCCGCCTTCACCCTGAGCACGCCCAGCGCCCCCGGCCCGCTGGTGTTCACCGCCCTGAGCCCGGACTCGCTGCAGCTGAGCTGGGAGCGGCCGCGCCGGCCGGACGGAGACATCCTGGGCTACATGGTCACGTGCGAGCGGGCCCACGGAGGAGGTGCCGCCCGCCCCGGGCAGGGGGGCCGGGAGGGCGGGCGGAGGGGGCGCCAGAGGCTCACGGCCCCTCCCCGGCCCAGAGCCAGGCCTCAGCTTCCAGGTGGACGGCGACTGCGCGGAGAGCAGGCTGACGGTGCCCGGCCTCCGGGAGAACGTGCCCTACAAGTTCAAGGTGCAGGCCAGGACCAGCCAGGGCTTCGGGCCAGAGCGTGAGGGCGTCATCACCATCGAGTCCCAGGCTGGAGGTAGGGCACCTCGCCCTCGGCGCCCATCCTTCCCGTGACCACACCCCGGCACCTCCCTGAGGCGCTGTCTGTCCCCTCAGGCCCCTTCCCTCAGCTGGGGGCCCTCTCGGGGCTCTGCCAGCACCCGCTGCCCGGCGAGTACAGCAGCGTCACCACCACCCACACCAGCTCCGCCGAGCCCTTCCTGCTGGGTGAGTGGCCGGGCCCAGGCTCTCCCGGGGGAGACCGCTAACAGGCGAGGAGGGCAGGGACCCAGACGGAGCTCTCAACAGCTCTTCCCCCGCCCGCAGACGGCCTGGCCCTGGGGCCCCGGGGCCTGGAGGCCGGGGGCTCCCTCACCCGGCACGTGACCCAGGAGTTTGTGAGCCAGACACTGACCACCAGCGGGACCCTCAGCAGCCAGGCGGACCGGCCGTTCTTCCAGACCTGAGCGCCCCCTCGGCCAGGCGGCCTCGAACCTGGGCCCCCTGCCCCCTCCCCGGAGCTGCCGCAGCCACACCGTCCTCGGACCCCCTGTGGCCCCACCCACCGCATGCTGACCACAGGACCAGGGCTTCTGGGGGCAGGTGCCCTCTGGGGGGCAGGAAGAGGGCAGAGGTCCCAGAAGGCCCCCTGTCTGCCCCCGACCCCCCACCCCGCCAAGCGCGTTTGTAACCGAAGCGCCGGGCCCAGCATGCACGGGCCCAGCTTGTTCTGCACTTAATAAAGCGTTTGCTGCCGTTTAGCCCGCCCTGCCCAGTCTCCGGGACCGACCGGCCCAGAGCCAGGAGCGGGTCCGACCCCGCTCTGCTGGCCGAGCACACACCACCGGAGGTCCGGAGTCTGAGGCACACGTTTATTGAGCTCCAGGAGCGGGGCAGGCCCAGCGGCCTGGATTCCCGGCTGCCGCCTGGCCGGCCGCGCCGCAGGGCCCCCAGGGCAGCTCACCAGCGCAGCACGCGGGCCCCGGCGGCGGCCTGGGAGAGGTAGAAGGTGGCGGTGCCGCCATACTGCGCCTGCGGGAGAGGCAGAGGCCTGAGCCCGGGGAGCCTGGGAGCCAGCCCTCCCTCGCCCCGGCCCCGGTCCACCCACCTGGATGTGCTGCATGGCCTGGGGAGCCGTGGAAGCTTCCAGCAAAGTCACCGTGCAGCCCCCGAAGCCGCCGCCCGTCATGCGGCTGCCGTAGACCCCGGGCGCCGACAGCGCAGCCTGCACCAGCTGGTCCAGCTCCGGGCAGCTCACCTCGAAGTCGTCCCTGCGGAGCAGATGCAGCAGCCTGTGCCCGGCCCCCCCGCCCGGGGCAGCCGTGCCCGGCCCCTCCGCTGGGGCAGCCTGTGCCTGGCCCCACGCCCGGGGCAGCCGTGCCCGGCCCCACGCCCGGGGCAGCCATGCCCGGCCCCTCCGCCCGGGGCAGCCGTGCCTGGCCCCTCCGCCCGGGGCAGCCTGTGCCCGGCCCCACGCCCGGGGCAGCCGTGCCCGGCCCCCCCGCCCGGGGCAGCCGTGCCCGGCCCCCCCGCCCGGGGCAGCCGTGCCCGGCCCCTCCGCCCGGGGCAGCCGTGCCCGGCCCCTCCGCCCGGGGCAGCCGTGCCCGGCCCCACGCCCGGGGCAGCCTGGGACCGGCCCCTACGCCCGGGGCAGCCGTGCCCGGCCCCTCCGCCCGGGACAGCCGTGCCCGGCCCCTCGCCCGGGGCAGCCGTGCCCGGCCCCACGCCCGGGGCAGCCGTGCCCGGCCCCTCCACCCGGGGCAGCCTGGGCCCGGCCCCTCCACCCGGGGCAGCCTGGGACCGGCCCCTCCGCCCGGGGCAGCCGTGCCCGGCCCCTCGCCCGGGGCAGCCGTGCCCGGCCCCTCGCCCGGGGCAGCCGTGCCCGGCCCCTCCGCTGGGGCAGCCTGGGACTGGCCCCCCCGCCCGGGGCAGCCGTGCCCGGCCCCCCGCCCGGGGCAGCCTGTGCCCGGCCCCACGCCCGGGGCAGCCTGTGCCCGGCCCCACGCCCGGGGCAGCCGTGCCCGGCCCCACGCCCGGGGCAGCCGTGCCCGGCCCCACGCCCGGGGCAGCCTGGGACCGGCCACTCCGCCCGGGGCAGCCTGTGCCCGGCCCCACGCCCGGGGCAGCCGTGCCCGGCCCCTCCGCCCGGGGCAGCCGTGCCCGGCCCCTCCGCCCGGGGCAGCCGTGCCCGGCCCCTCCGCCCGGGGCAGCCGTGCCCGGCCCCACGCCCGGGGCAGCCGTGCCCGGCCCCTCCGCCCGGGGCAGCCGTGCCCGGCCCCACGCCCGGGGCAGCCGTGCCCGGCCCCTCGCCCGGGGCAGCCGTGCCCGGCCCCACGCCCGGGGCAGCCGTGCCCGGCCCCACACCCGGGGCAGCCGTGCCCGGCCCCTCGCCCGGGGCAGCCGTGCCTGGCCCGCTGGGCCTCACCTGAGGGAGTTGTGGCTCTCCACCATGAGGCGGCCGAAGGCCCGGTAGTCGCCCCGGTGGAGGGCGGCCGCCGCCTGGGCCGTGCGCTGGATCTCCCCCACGACGTGCCGCGCCCGCCGGAAGCCCTCCTTGCTTATCAGGTCTCTGCCCGCTGGAGGGGAAAGGGCTCAGCAGACCCACACACACACACACACACACACACCCCGGCCAGGGCCCCGGAGGGTGTGGGGACCGGGCACCGCGGCGCCAGGCGGGGGAGCCTCTGCTGGGAGGCCTGGCTCTGGCAAGGCCAGGAAGGAGCTTGTGCTGGTCACTGAGCTCCCAGCGCCTCCCTCAGCTTAGCGGGGGGCACCCACTTGATTCGGGGCGCCCTGGCCCAGGTGAGCAGACATCTGCAGGGCGCCTGGCACACATGGGTGCTCACGTCCAGCCGTTCAAGTCCCAGCCCCGGGGTTTCCGAGGTGAAGGGGGCGCAGTGCCTCCTGGGGACCGCGGGGAGCAGGAGGGAGAATCCCTCCGAGGGCTGGGGCTCCAGGGGTGGGGATGGGAGAGGCAAGGGCACAGGGCACAGGGCACACAGGAACCAGCAGGCTTCGCCCCCTCCACACCCACACCCCCCCTCCCCCGAGGGGGTAGGGCCAGCCGCAGCCCCTAGGCCAGGGCACCGCTTACGCTCTGTGCTTGTCTACGACCCTCATGTTAGCAACAGCAGCACTGATCCCAGCAGCCTGCTGGGCGGGAGCCCTACGCTAAGGGATTTGGGGAGTGGGCAGAGCATGGCGGGGTCCTGGGGGTGAGGCCCCGCCGGCTCTCACCCTCCAGCTCCTCCATCTGCACCTCCCGGAGGCTCTCCTTGCCCAGCGCCCGGGCCACCTCCTCGCACTGGCGGCGCCGTAGCGGGTACTCGCTGGAGGCCAGGGCGTGGCGCACGTTGGAGTTGGTGATGAGCACGGCCAGCTTGGGGTCAGACAGCGGCACCAGGCTGGTCTCCAGGGACCTGGGGCGGAGCCGGAGGGGGGTGACCGGGCGGAGTGTCTGCCGCCCCGCCCCGCAGCGGCACGCTCTGCCGGGGGCGGGGAGGCGCGGGCGCCCTCACCTGCAGTCGATGAGCAGCGCGTGGCCCTCCTGCCCCAGCAGGGTGACGAGCTGGTCCATGATGCCGCAGGGCACCCCCGCGAAGCTGTGCTCGGCCCGCTGGCACACCTGGGCCCGCGCAACGATCGTCCCCGAGTCTGCGGCACAGGGTGGGGGGGCTGGGCCTCAGCGAGAGAAGCAGCCGCCCACAGGGGCCTCGCGCGGGGAGGCCGGGAGGGGGCGGCCCGGGAGGTACCTGGGCAGAGCTGCTGCAGGAAGGTGTACGTGGCCACTTCCAGGGCCGCCGAGCTGGACAGCCCGCCGCCCAGGGGCACCGAGCTGACCACCGCTGCGCTGAAGCCGGGCAGCGGGGCGGCTGCGGGGACAGGGGGAGGCGGTCTGAGGACGGGCACAGGAAGGCACTACTGGGTTTCCGGCTGACGTGAGGCGGCTGCCTGGTGCCCGCTTCCCCGAACGGGCCTCAACTGGCAAAGGCCACCAACCTGCCGGGCCCAGGGGCCCCGGCCCTCCCCCTTCCACCCTGCGGTTCCCGGACACAGGCTTCCCAGCTCTCCGGAGGCCACGGGTTAGGGTTCGAATCCTGACTCCTCCAATCATAGAATGGGCAGCCCACGGCGAGGTCCGGACCCCCTCGGGGTGTCGGTTTGTCCATCTGTACAATGGGATGCTCTGTCCTGCAAGCCTACCCCACAGTGGATTAGGTGGGCTAACGGGTTTTATGGCCGGGCCCAGGCCCGGTGCCATACCTGGGTAGTGCTGAATCACTCCCTTGACATAGTTGGCCCATCGGGGGGTGCCGGGCTCCAGGGCCCGGTGGGCTGTGGGCAAGGGGAACTGCAGCAGCCGGGGCTCGTCCGCGTCCTCGGAGGCGGTGAGGAGGGAGACCAGGCCGTCGGTCCGCGGGCTGCCCACCATCACGGTCACCAGCTCCAGAGCCTGGCGGGTGGGAGAGAGGCCTCTCTCTTACTAAAGCCCCCAGGAATGTGGGACGGACAGGAGCACAGGAAGAGACCGGCAGTGTCTGTCAGAGGAGCCTGAGGCCCTGCCCCCCGGACCTTCAGGGGTGGGACCAGCGCCCAGAGCACACCTGGACTCTGGCCTCCACGTGGGCGCCCAGCTGGGGGCACAGCGGGGCCGAGCTCAACAGGAAAACAGAATCAGGAGCCCCATCAAATCTTCCCGTTTGGGAGTGCCCGCAGGTGTGCTGCGCCCGCTCACGTGCCAAGCTGCGGGTTGGGGCGAAGGGAACCCCTGGCTGAGCTGGGAGGCCTCCTGAGTCCAGAGGGGCCCGCCGAGCACCAGCTGTGTGGCCCTGAGCAGCCACAGCCCTCTCTGGGCTGCCTCCCGGGCCATACGGCTAAGTGGGCCGGGCTGGAGGCTCGGGGCTGGCTCTTAGGGTCTGCAGGGCCTCCTGGGAGCCAGAGTCTGAAGCACCTCCTTCCACTTGCAAAACACGGGGGGGACCTCCACATTTTGGGGTGCTCCCAGGTGGCCGGTGAGGATAGCAGCCCACAGGGGCGAGCTGGAGCCCAGAGGCTGGGCACACCCCTCCCGGCCCACTTCCTCCCGGATCGCCTTCCTCCTTCCTCCCCTCCTCCTCTCCTACGTGCGGAAGGTCCCGTCCCGCTCCCTCCCACGTGCTCCGCCCAAACTCGCCGGAGCCGGAGTTCGGTCCCGGGGACCCGGGCCGCCCGCGCCCTCGGCCCGGAGGCCGGCCCGTCCCGGGCCTCACCATGGGCAGCACCAGGCCCTGGTTGTAGTCCGTGTGCTCCCCGATGAGGTTGACGCGGCCGGGCGCCGCCACCGCCAGCGCGGGCTCGGCCCCGAACTCCGCCCGGAAGGCCGCCCGCGCCCGGGCCAGCAGCTCCGCCGCCGGCGGGGGCCTCGCCGCGGCCATGGCCTCGCCCTCCGCCCCGAGTGCCGCCCGAGAGGAGCGGGATGCCCGGC